ACATGCTCCAAAGAGGAATGTACCTCCAAACTGACCATATACAGGATGTCCTGGCTCTGGGGACGTTCACTGCTAACCAGGATGTTCCGCGCTTCGGTTCATACACGTCGGATATATCGGTAAGTCTAGCCGCTATTCCTATCTCAACACTGAACATTGATTTACTTTTTCTACTCATGAGCAGCTGGCGCGCAATATTCTGACCAGCAGTATGCTGGCGGACGGGATCCCCATCCGTATGTTCCCATCCCCACTCCCCATAGGAGGCAGGATTTCTCAGACACCACTGATGATCAAAATACAGTCTATTACGGCGAGGAACAACATCTGACTGGGTCCTACAATCCGGTCAACCGCGAGGCTCTCTGGCTGACCAACTACACGATGCGCTCGACTTCCCTCCCCACCCTCGTCCGATCACTGAACCGCCTTCGATCATATGCTAGCGGAGATGGTGAGCAGTACACGCAAAATTCGCAATCTGGAAGCGATTACCTCTCGTACCTGTCAGCTCCCATTTACAATTCTACCCACATTCTGGCCACGCGCAAGGGGTTTGCAGGCAATCAGGTCGTGAGCGTCGTATCCAATTTGGGAGCCAAGCCAGCCAGCAAAGCCACCACGAAAATTACATTGGGCTCAGACGAGACCGGATTCCAATCCAAACAGAATGTGACCGAGATCTTATCTTGCAAGACCTATGTCACGGATTCCAGCGGGAATCTGGCAGTGGATCTGAGCTCGGACGGGGGTCCGCGCGTGTACTATCCCACAGACAGCCTGAAGGACAGCACCGATATCTGTGATGATCAGACTAAATCGGCGACCCCGAGTAGCTCCGCAGCCTCATCCGTCAGCCCAATCCAATCCAAGGGGTCTGAGACTTGTTTCTTTGGGGTGCCGCTGGGGATAAGCACATTGGTGGTCACCGTTGCGATGGCCACGTCCTACGCGTTCGTCTAGTCCCTTGAGCCTCTCTCCTGATGTTTATCGCCTGTCTTTCCCTGTTTCGCATTACCCCCATGGCCATTGTTCCCTCTTACGCTCTTTCATCTGTCTTGAAACTGTGGCTTTACATGAAACCCTATACCATGCCTCTGGATGCACCAATAGAGTACTAAGTATAGATTGTGGCGTCTTGTCTCTTACTAGTCAACCTGACATCGCGGTAATATACATGTGTTGTTCCTTCTAGATCTAAATGAAATTTTATTAAACGCCTTTTAGCACAGCGACCAGATTGTCATTGTCTCTTCGCGTAGACGAGGTGGTAGTAATGGAGGGTGATTACTTTCGGAATTCCCGACTATTGCGGGCTTTCTTGTTCTTTGATGGGTTGCCCTGACGGTCGGGCGCACAGGAACCGGCTCGGCTTCGGTTACCCTTGGAAGAACAACCACAACCACAAACGACAACAAGCAGCCTGCCAGCTTGCAGGATGACCGCAGGTCCCAGATAGATACACTCTGCCAGCCAATCTGTCTTGATGGGGACATCTTACCGTATTGAACGGGTATGAAATAACAGCCAGATACTGCCTACAAAAATAGAAGTACGGATCTTTAACAGCCTCGATTTTCCAAAACCCTTATCGGCTCTTCCGTCTTGCAGCCAATCCCTCCTAGTGCCAACCTTGCGCTGACACGAGATGGCTTCAACTTGCTTTCACAGCTCGCGTCTTTATCTGTCAGGGAAAATAGCACCCACAGCCAGTCGTATCGGAGCTTCTCATTGGTCCGATATTGTGATATATCCAGCACACCATGACAGATCACTGCTTCAGAGACATACATCCCGGTCATGCCCGATCGCTGTCACTCAACGTAGGAAATGTCTCGGATTACACTTTGAGGTCCGTTTTTTTGCCCTTCCCGCGAGAGGCTCAGCCCATACTGATGATCATCTCGTATTGCTGGTTCAGTGTGCGGTCTAGACAATCAGCCTGATCTCGATCTGTTGGGCTTCAGCCAAAGGCTGCTGAGTGATTCAGTACAGAGGAGTATACCCGGTGTCGTTATACGATCCCGTCAAAGGGAACCCTTCTCAAAGATGTTATATATCTATATATATATATATATAGCAGGCAAATGTCCCGGTAGGGCATATGACACTACTACTTCCTAGCTACTAGTATCCTCTGTAGTAGTAATTCAGGTCGTATCAACATGCGCTTCGCTATCACCGCCGCCTCGCTGAGCCTCATCTCTTCGGCTTTGGCCATCACCATCACCGAGCCCACCTCAGGCACTGAATGGGATTTCTCCACTCCCAAGACCATCAAGTTCACCAGCGATGCCAACGATCCGTCAGTGATCAGCATCATCTTGCGCACCCAGGACGGATCCTTCCAAACCAAGCTGGCGGACAACGTAAAGACTTCCACTGGGGAATACACTACCCAGCCCAACCCTAGCATTTCCAACGGGTGCGTACTCTAGACCGTGTGAACTCACCGACAGTTGGAAGTGGGAACACTACTAACTTCCTATTTTCCATCCTAGGTCTGACTATGAAATCGAGATCATCGACTCGTCGGGCGAGCTCGCTGTGAGCCCGACTTTTACTGTCGAAAAGGGTGCTTCAAGCGATGGTACTACTTCCTTGTCATCTTCTTCCACTTCCACTACATCTTCTTCCTCTTCCTCTTCTTCTACCTCCTCCTCTTCGACATCCAGTGAAACCGAATCCACCACAGTCACCCCTACGACTGCGGTGTCTTCGACAACTACCTCGTCGAGCAGTCCTCTATCTTCATCTTCAGGCAAGATGTCTTTTCGTTATTGTGGCACGGCGACCTCACTGACCGAAGTGTGATTTTTCTACAGAATCGACTACGTCTACCTCCACGTCTTCATCCTCTTCTACGGGTACTACGCTCGCCACGTCCGCGTCTTCTACCTCGAGGTCGAACAGCACTGCCGCCACGACTACCGCTCAGCTATCCACGGGCGCGGCTTCAACTACATTCAACGCTCCTCAAGGGCTTGTGGCTCTGATTGGTGCTGCTTTGGCGCTTCTCTACGTCTGATCATCAAATTCATTTCGGGATCACGCACACGCTTGTTTTTAGTCTACGACTCATGAGAATTGAAAATAGAACTTGCTTGGTTCGTGGGGATTTTCTTCGTTCTTTGTACTTGTTCTTTGTAGTCTTAAGGCATAGTCACTAGTATCGGAACTAGATCTCTCTGCGATTGCTTTGGTTTAAGGGCGCACTAGAAAATGAGAGATCAAACCCCCATCGAACCCATGAGCCGCAAGCGTATGTCGATCCAGCGGGGCGCGAATTGACAACGACAGATCATCTCCATACTTCCTTGCCGATCGAACCTTTTTTTCCCTTTTCTTTCGCTGGTATCCGTGTACTGTCGATGTAAGGCCTCTGTAGCACATACCCAGATGTCAATATCGTGGTTGTTAAAGGTTTCATTACGAAACCGTTATTTGTGCCCTCCTTGGTTTTATCTTTCCCGGAGATATATGCTTGGGACTTGTGGTTGACTTTTCCGGTTAATCGAAGTATGACCGATTCCAAACGCAATCTTACTTTCGGGTACTGTTCTTTGTGACGTACTAACAACCCTTTTGCTGGACACGTCACAGATAGATCAGCGCACTAAGCAGCAGGAGATGCAGGGATGCTGACGGGAGATCTTTGTCCAGTCGGATCTTAGGGCCTGGCCACGTTTCCACCACCGCGGCCATCAGTTGCGACTACCGGTGAGTGATTACGAGACGGTACCTTACCGTATATATTACTTGGGAAAAACCTTCAACTTTCATGAGGCATCAAAGGCATATAAAGCTAATCAGAGATTGATTGTATTGAGACTCTTCGTATTCTTTCACAGTGATGATGACTAGTATTTGTGCTCTACTTCAAGCAGCCGAGCCTAGAAACATTCAAGAGCATATCCAATACCGTGGAATGACACTCCTTACGGTTCCGTCTTACTTCTTCGCTTCTTATCTTTCACCTCATGCTCTATGTGTCCATCCAATCACTACGAGAACAGTTCACAGTATGTTAACTTAGGTAAGCTACTACCCGACAAGAAGAAAATTTTGCGATGGCGGAATGTGACATCTCATCCCCAATAACATGGCAATCTTCACACCGCCGGAAGTCGCGTATGCATCTCGGGCTGCACGAGATAAGGCTGTGTCTCCCCTTGCGTTCCAGCTTCCGCAGCAGTTGGTTTCTTGTTTACCTGCTGTGTAACCAGTTTTTGAACCTCGGAAAGTGATGCAGCTTTCGACGACCGACACCTATTTATAGTCATCCGTCCTAATCGCAGCTCGTTAGTGCAGACTCTTTCCCGTCCAGGATATGCCAACACGCAGCACCCAGTGGATTACTGATTACATATGTGTACCCGCAAGGTCACACATATTGTATCGTCGATATGGTCATCTCAACAATTGTGGTGTAATCGGCACGGCCAGCGTATCCCAAGAGTCATCTAAGAGATGAAAAGTGCCGCCGCTGTGGCAAATACCACCCGAAGATCCAGGCCATTCCAGAAGATATAATATGCTTTCAGTAAGGGAGACTCCACCGGCCACACGCCACGCCCTTCTCGCGTTGGATTCTCAAGAGGCTCCGTGGGTATCGTAAGTTTTGCCTGACGGATTCATGGCTGCCCCGGTTACTCGCCTAGATGGAACAACACTCGCGGAAGTGTGTATCAGGTGTCTGAAGAAAGGCCGTTCCTGTACTGAGGCAATCAGACCAGCAGCAAATGGTGCGGGCAGGCCATCCCAATCCCAGTGCTGTAGTTACCAGTCGCGAGGGCATGCCGCCTGTTGATGTCGAGACTCACGAAGTCCACCCCGTATTTGGGGAGGGGATGCTCGCATTACGATTGAGGTCGGTCCACTTAATATCACCGACCACCTTGAACCCATCCGCTTCACCCAAGGTCAGCTCAGCCCGGTACTCTGAGCCTAGGATAAAGTAGAAGAAAAAAAGCCATCTCGGCTAGCTGTCCGCTATAAAACTATGACCAGAATGTAGGAACCCCGTCAACCGCAGACCGTGAGTGGCCAACTTTCATCCCCATTATGTTGTCCATGGGTGTAATTCGGAACACCTCTGGGAAGTGGATAATGCAAATGATATAATGCTCCGACGAGGTGAGCTCTGCTAGACGGGCGGTCTCACAGTTTACCGTGCAACTGACAGCTTCTGACTTGCGCAAGGACACCGCCGTGGCACCAGTGCTGTAACCTCCCACGGGTTTCACATCGAGCTGCCGGAAGAAGGTTCGAAATTTTGCGGTTTGAAAGAGGGTATTACTACCGCAGTCCACACAGTTCCTCACCGGTAAAACTGGGTCTATCGATCCTGTGTCGTACATTACCATGCTATACGGGAGATTGATCATCAGCATGAATTGCGTCGAAGATAAGGTAGGCTACCGACAAATTCTGTGGATAGCCGACCTGGATCATGCTATACCACTGTACATAACCATCAATCTTGATACTGAATGAGAGTCAGTGTGGTGGCTAATCTGAAGATCAATATCGGCAGTTCAGTCGCACAGTGGCACCATCACTTATCCCTGATTATTGGAAGAACGCCGTCCTACATGGCCTTCCAGCTGAACCTTTGGTGGCGATGCAGTAGATGGAAGAGATTTGCTGGAGAGAAATGCCAGCAAAGAACCAGCAGGTCATAGAAGACAAACATTCCATAGTGGCCTACACTAGGCGCGCAAAAGAAAAACCAACTCTTCAAGTGGGTTATCGTTGTGCTACCACGTATTGGCTTTATCGGCCGCATCTTCCCTTTTCCTCCCAGAGTCTAACCGGGATTGCATGCAGACAGTCCTCATGGCTTGTTGTACCCCGGTAAGGTTTATGCAGATTGCATTATTACATTTGTCTGAGTCGCGTCCTTCCGACATCGTCGATAAACCAAACCTTCTCCTGTCTGAAACCTCCTTTATCCTTTGGAGTTCTCTTTACCTTGTTCAATTGAAACATCAGCAAGACTTGGGGAACTACAATGATTGATATCTTGTGGCCATTGACGGAAATCGAAAATATCCGAGCTAATAGCGGACAAGCTTCTAAGATCTTCTCTTTCAGACTGTTGCATTACCGTGGATTCGCCATAGAATTCATCGCCTTCTCTGACACAGTCCACCATTAGTACTTACATGGTGTCTGATATCCGGTAAAGAATGGAATATTCATTTTTCTAACCTGAAGGAGGTCGCTACCATGTCTAAAAATTGGGCAGAAACCCCTTTCTAAGTCAGAACATATAATGGACAGTATTCCTTGCAGTGATGGGAGCGTAGTGACGATCTCGCTAATTCCAGCAGCCCAGCATCCCTTCAGACTTTAACTCTCCCAGATTTGCCGTCCTGTAACATCACTACCATACATCTATAAGCCAACTTGTTCAGGTATTTAGAAACCATGGATAAGTTACCAGAAGAGATCAAGCATGTCATTGCAACTTTGGTAAGTACGTTCAACTAAACTTTTGATACACGGCACTGATGCAGCCCGCAGTTGTGTGATAGAACCCGAAGAAGCCTGATGGCATTGTCTCAAGTTAGTAGGGTATGGAACACTATCGCAGGATCAGTCCTATATCGCCACCTTCTGATACCTTTAGATATCGAGGAATCCTGTTCTTACTTGCTTCGTCTGCCACATACCCAAAGAGTCTTTGCACATGTGAAGCGACTAATTCTGATGACGATTTGGAGATTCATAAAACCCCCGCTTAAATACTTCCTAGATACTCGTGATTCCCTGGAACAAGGGGGTGTCGGGAAGGGCTTTATCGATCGATGTCCTTCCTACGAAGAGGATCTGGCCCCAATTCTCAACCTGATTACACAGCTGCCTAATCTCAGTGAGGTCAATATTATTGATGAGGAGGGTGGGACGGTTGAGCTTGCTGAGACAATCTCACGGCATCATCCAACATGCCAAGTATCCCTCTTCATCTCATCACTTTCCACGAGCAAGGCTTGGGATGGCTCACCGTTACTGCATGCCGTGTGTCATTATCCCTTGGAGAACACTGAAAATGGTGAGACACAGTCTACGGATAGGTTACTGCAGAGCATTGTGCACCGAGCACCACATGTACGGAGGGTCTCAGTTCAGTCCTGTTCTTGTGGTCTCCTGCCTATGGAGGAAGGTCAGGATGTACCTCAAGTAGTCACCCAAATAGAATCCTTATGCTGGCCGCTAGATAGGGAGGTGACCGTGGAGGGCTTCCAGTGCATGAAAGAACTGACGGATCTAGAATGTCTGAGATCGTGGACAGCTGGCTGCATCAAGGATACGATGCTGCTACAGACTCTGGCGAGTATGCAACCCTTCAAGGAGCTTACCCACCTAACCCTTGCCTTATTCGATTCCTATGAGAACGAGTACGCATTTTGGTCCAGTGCAGAGGCGATGTTGGAATCCTTGCCCCCATTGAAATCTCTCTGCCTGCTAGGCGGATATGCGCCCGCATTACTCACCCGTGGTAAAGTGCTTCGCAAGCATGGACCGACACTCCTCGAATTGGAATTACATCGGGCATCGCCTTCGACGCAAAAGATAGACCTGTATGAGCTTGCCCTAGGCAAAGGAATTGGTCCAGTTTTCTCGGTCAATGATATTTTGGACCTCAGCCGCCAGCTTCCATTGCTCAAGAAGCTGCAAATCTGTGTTCAGCGCCGCCGTGGCCTTGAGGGAGCCGTGTACACAGCCCTAGGACAGTTCACATGTCTGGAGGAGCTAGAACTAGTTCTCAACTGCCTTCCGGAGATGAACAGTCTCAGCCACCCGGTCCCGCCGCGTGAGTTGACAGATTTCGAAATGGCTCGAATCTGGCATAGTTCTGTGCTAGGTGGGTGGCCCAGATGGTACATGCGTGATTTGATGATCAATTGTGCCATCGATGAAGCGTTGGCTAAGGCAATCTTCTCGTATGTCTGAAAAGGTCGAAACGGGAATTGCCTACAACGTCTGACGATCCACCCTTTGTATGGCCAGTTGGGAGAGTATTCCAGATACTTCTATTATGAAGACTGTAAAAAGGTTAAGGAGGAAGGCTTTCTAGACCAAAAGGCCCCGACGTGGGTAGTTGAGCCAGATCTTCTGACAGGGCTACGAGCCCAGAAGTGTATTAAGCCAAGGCGTGACTTAAGCGACCTGGCAGATGAAGAAGATAGCACATTGATCCCTGTACAGGAAGTGGGTGGCGTATTTGCCATGGAAGAGGAAAAAGACGTTCAAACCGTCTTTCAGTCCCTCTGGCCCACAGAGGATATCAGTGCTTGGCCACTTTATTAGCACAGTTGGCCCCTTAGGTCTTCGGGAATGGATGGTTAGTACAATCAGTTACACGATAGAAGATCCAATGTAATACACTGTTTATTTATGATGGCGATAGTACACAACTAGCTAAGGAGGCGCTTCGAGTGACTGTTGGCTGCCAGGATGGCCACTTCCGGAGTAGCCTAGTAATATCCACAACTTTCCTCTCTCCCACTTGCTCAACACTCCTAAACATTGAACTCCCCTCATGGTAATCTACTACGTCCGCCTAAGCCCCCTCCCAGTTCAGAGCCACAACCCGGGTGTCGTTGTACACCTTGTGCAAGAACTGGTTAGGGTTCTGCTTACCATGCTCAATGAACTCACCGGACCAAACCATCCAGTAAGCCCAGTTGACATTCTCACGAGCCTGCATATCGGGGTCCGGAATGGGGCCAACTTCTGCCATAGCCAAAACTCTCTCGTTCTTGGTCAGGGTCTGGAGCTTCTTATACTGGTCGGCCGCGACTCCGTGGTCACCAACGGCGGGATAGTGATCGATGGTGGCGATGTCGCATTTGTCGTTTCCGGGATACCAGGCCGGATCAGCAGTGTTGCAAACCCAGACCAAGTTATGGAGGTTGTGGTAGCGAGTGATGCGGTCGTAGAGGATATCCCACAGCTTTTTGAAGGGAGCAGGACCCTGGGCACCCCACCAGAACCAGCCACCCTCGGGCTCGTGGAGCGGGCGGAAGAGAATGGGCACGTTGGCCTGATCCAGGCGCTTGATCTGAGCAGCAATAGCGTCGATATCACGCAGCAGGAGCTTGTAGTTGGTGCCATTGCCATGGTCGTTGACGGCTTCAGACACGTTGAAGCAGGTGGCCTCGGTGTAGAATCCCTTGTACCACGGCTCTTTCTCGGTATCGAGCAGACAGGTGGGAGCGTACCAATGCCAAACCAGGGCATTGATTCCATTGCGACCGGCGTGCTGGAGTACATCCTCGACCGCGTGAGACTTGCCGCCGTGGGCAACAGCCGAAGGCGAGTAGTAGGTGAAGTCGCTGCCGAGGATGGCAGGGGCCACACCAATGTTCTTCTCTACCCAATTCCAGCTGTCGATGTCCTGCTGTCCAGATATGTAGTGCGATCCATACTGAAGCTGGATGTACTTCAGGAGCGCTCTGGCGCCGGGGGTGGCAGACTTGTCAATGTTGCCATAGGACAGAGTCTGGTTGGAGGCGCCCAGCGCAGCAGAGCTGAAAAGAAGCGAAAGGAGGGACAGTTTGGCGAACATTCTCAAAATGTATCAAATACTAAACGAATGAAAAATGAGCGAATGACTTAATGAAGGAGTTGGTTTACTGTCAGCTGTGACTGGGGCATGGCGTGTTCTTTATAGATTCAGACCGCGACGATCATTGTCTATTCAATGTAAGGAAGTTTTCATACAAGAGAGGTAAAATCATGCCCTGTTCATGACGATCCATGGACAACGCAACTTTTCCGCTTAGTTTTTCATCTGCACCTCCGTACCAGTCTTCTCTAAGCGGCCTCACCACCGCTTGCCCGTGGAAGGCTTCCCCAAGCACGGTGGACGGCACACATATTGATGTCTCAGAACTAGAGTTCTGCTGACGCGTTTCACCCTGTCTTGACAGTTCATTTTGAGTGTAGACATGCAATATCGGTAGCTTTGGACGTGGTTTGCCTGGAAATGGAACATGCGTTGATTCATGCTTAATGTGGACTGTGCCATATGGCATAGGGTCCAGGGACTGTTCGGCTTCCCGTCCGTCTCCACAAGCACGGCATCATCTCACTCAGATCTCTTTCCCGGGCGGGTTTGGCATAAGGCCCTGAGTTGCGGTGATTCCCCGAATATTCGCCGACTACATCACGGATAGAATTAACGATTACGTTTCGTCCCACTATCTGTTGATTTTTTCCTAATATGGGCTAGGGAACGCATTCGCTTAGGATATGAAATCTCTAGATAGTCAGATCGTATTCAGATATTACCTTGTTGGGCAAGGCAAGCGTCCCGTTCCCAAAGGAGATGGCTGAACGACTGCCTGCTTCGCCACGTTTCATAATGAGACAGCCTTCTCGGCAGTTGTAATTTCCCTACCAAGTTCAATTTAAGATAGTAGTGGTTCTCAATTTGAGTACGCGTCGTGGGTGTAGATGACCCATGAGTCTAACCTATTTGGACACGGAGTTTGTGCTGCTACCAAACTGGGAAAGCAGACTTGCCCCTGCGGCAACCTGGCCCTGAATCAGACCAGGGAAGATCCATCGAACGATTCACCGTTCACTGAATAGACGATCCCGGCGTAGGATTCGGCATGTGTGCGCGTTTAAGCATTGACCGCATATCCTTAACGTCAGAACTGCATGACCATATAGAAGTGTAAAGCCGTATGTATGACCCAGCATCGTACAAGGACCCTCTTCCTTCCACTCAAAGTTTTAACTCCACCATCGTACGATGCAGACGGGGTGTTGACCATGACTCGAGGTCTACGTGGATTTTGTAATGTGCCGAATACAGAAGCGTGTGATCGTTAATATACTAACTCCTTCGGCTACCAGTATTTCCATCATGTCGAACTGATACAATAAGCTATATGGGACGCCATGCTTTACCCATCAGCACACATACATAGTAGTGCTTTTTTCATCCAGACGGAAGATGCACGGAGTCGGCTGTGGCACTCGCGGGCTACCCTTATCACGCAGATCAAGCCAATCGGATATGCCCATCTGCATGGCCGACTCTGCTCCGTCGCGCAACCGTCTGACATGCGACTCAACAGCTCTTGAGTCGAAGTCAATGTCCAATCAAGGCTGCCGGAATAATCTACAACCCTGGACTTCCCGATTGAGATGATGACACATACTCTTCGGGCCGCTCGTGATGGCGCTAAACCCTGTTTGCGTACATTCGGCCCGCCAACGGAGATGACCAGAAGAGGGAACAACAAAGCCCGACCAGGGCTGACAGTAACTCACTATCTCACTATCTGTGCACATCTTCTTGCTCTGTCTCTCCCTGGCACGGTTGGCCTAAGCATCGTACTCCGTAACTAGCTAGTTACCTCTAACGTCACCTACTGCACTGTCTTCCTGGTGCTTACTCCTCGGAGAATGGGTGTCTAGTCATTTAGCATGCCACCCCAACGCGCGCCCCAGTCCCCCTTCCCGCGCCATCGCAGTAAGCGGATTGCCTGCAGGCAATGTCGCCAGTCAAAGGTCAGTTATGATACTAGCCCGCCTCTGTTCTTCTTCGTAGCTGACGATATGGCCTAGCTTCGATGTGAGGTATCCACAGGTGGTGCTATCCCCTGCTCCCGATGTCGCCGGCTGGGCTACGAATGCCGGCTTGATGTGGCGTATCAACGTGTCAACGGGCGAGAGTATACCTCACTGGCCATAAAGGGCTACTTCGTCGCTTCCAATACACACATTCTGATACCTTATAGGAGACTAGAGGAACTGGAGAAGGAAGTTCAGCATCTGCGCTCATCCGTCTCCACTCATCCTCCCGCTGCCGCGCCACAGTCCCTCCAAGGCATTCTCCTCACCCCCAGCGAATCGTACCATGCCGATGCCTCCTCTATTATCGTTCAGGAACCCTCAGGGTCGCGAGTGGATCTGGTGGCTTCCCAAATGCCACCTTTGCCAGTAGAACCTACAACTCCAGTACATTCCTTGCCATCCCAGCAACCTAGTCAACCGTCGCCTTTACTTACCGACACGACGTCCCCAACCTCATCCAGGTCGCTAGAGTTTGTCCACCTCCATGGGTTTCAAGTAAATGCTCTGTTCAACATGTAAGATTTGTCAGCCTGCTACCTATCCTTGAGCTGATGCCGGTAGCTTCTTCACTCACTATCATCCCTACGTACCCTTGTTGGATCCAACCATCTCCCCGAACCAATATTATGCTCGATCTGCAGGGTTATTCTGGTCCATCATTCTGCTGGCCTCTCGTCGATATACGGAAGAACCTGGCTTGTTTGTCAGTCTCACGGCTCCCGTCAAAAAGCTCATATGGGATACCATCGCCAATCCCCCGCACACCTGGCATGCCGTGCAGGCTATCATCCTAGTGTGTCTGTGGCCATTTCCCACTTCATCTCTTTCCTCCGATATTACATCCATTCTCCTATCCACCGCGCAGACGATCTCCCTCCGCATCGGACTGCATCGACCAGAAGCCATCCAGGATTTTTCCCGAACCAAAAGACGTTTGATGCCGGATGAGATGGCCGAAGTAGCTCGAACATGGGCGACCTGCTATATCACCGCTCAAACGTAGGTGACACTCTGCTTTAGCCATGTTTTGTCGTAGCTATCTGACTCAACTATCCTCACAGGATCGTAACCATAGACGGACAAGTATGGGTTTCGTCAGACTGGATGATCGATCGGCTTTGTGACCGGGACAGCACCATGATCCCCACGTCCCTCAAACATCAACTCCTCATATCACGGTTTTCGGCCCGTGTAGGTCAATTCATGTCCAGCCACTCACAGGGTCCAACGGATCTTCCTCGTCCAGGGGAATTCATCTCCCTTCTGGCCCTGTTGGAGCGAGAATACACCGAACTGGCATCCACTTTAACCAGCTACATATCTGGTCCGTCACACACCAACTCGTCCCATCCCATCATCACTAACCTTGCCCGCAGAGGAGAACAAAGTCCTTCTTAATGGCACCGGTCTCCAACTCTACGTCTTCTACCTACTCGAAGAATCCGACTCCGACACGCGCAAACGCGGGCTCCTCCGCGCATACAGCATGTCAATCTCCACCATAACAATCATCAACCAACTCGAAGCCCTCACCGACGCCATGGCCTACGGGCCCGTGTCCTATTTCCGTATCATCTCTATCGCAGCTATGTTCATACTCAAATTGAGCTATTCGAACCTCGGCCCCTATCTCGACCTAGAGACCGGTAAACGCTCATTCAACTCTGCCATTGCCCTAACGCGTCGGATATCTATCGAGGACAACGATCTCCCTGGGCGCATGTCAAAGATTCTTACCCAGTTGTGGAGTGCTCAAGTTATTCATCGCGGGCAGCGGGACAAGCCGCCCGGGCTAAGACTGAAGACACGCTTGGCTGCCAGTTTAGTCCATGATTCCATGTGGATGTGGCGGGAGCAGTTTGGTGGACAGCCTCGCAGTGGGACAAATACGCCCCTGGCGAGTCGGGGATATTTTGCTGACAACAGGGCTATGGAGCAGCGCGGGGGACTAAGTGCCCGGGGGACAGGCTCGGCTGGCCAGGAGGCTGCTACTAATTTTCCAGTGGGGATGGAAGGTGCTTATTCAGATGGATTGACCCTGGAGGATGTGGTCGATGCAGAGTTGCTTGCGTTGTTGCCTTTTAGCTTGGATGGGGAAATCTTCACTGCGCCTGGAGGGTGTTGACATGCGTTCAGTAACTTGCTTTTTGCCTATCGTCACACGGCTGTCATGCGTAACGAATATCCTAAGAGTAAAGCTACTTCTTATTTACGGAAGATTACCTCCACAATAGCAAGCTACTACCACTGCAACCCTGCATGCGGGCCAGCACTTTCGCCACTCCCATGCAGCGCAAGTGACTTCGCACTCCCCAGATTTTTCGGTCTGGTCATCTGCTCAAACAGCCGGTTTCCAAATTTTTGGAATGCCGACGCGATACCGCCATGCTGAAAGAGCTCCCGCTCCATCTGACTCAACTGGAATCCGAACTGCTTCCCATCAACGTCTATGACCTTGGTCTTGAAGTCGATGGAAATCTCGTTGCCATCTTGAGCGACGTCGTAAAATGCCTCGTCAGTCAGGGTGATGCCCAAGAGACCCAGACTGGGCATGTTACGCTGGAAGATGAACGAGTATGACTTGGCAATGACACACTGCACGCCGCATCCTGTAAAAACGGTATTAGGAGGACATCCGCCATGGCGACTACGAAGCAGACGTACCTAAGAGTGCCATAACCGCCTGTTCACGGGACGATCCACATCCAAATGCTTTGCCTGCCACGACAATATTGAACCCGTCTTTGACGCGCTGGCGGAATTCGGGGTGGGTGTGCTCGAGGCAGTGCTCGCCTGCGATCTTGTTGTCTGACATGCCGATAAGGAATTGGGCAGGAGCCAGCTGGTACTTATTAGCTGCTGTGACGGGGTTTAAAAGAATGGGAACAGCATACAGCATCAGTATCGATGAAATCGCCCAGGCGCTGCACTTTGCCTGTCATCACGTCGGACGAAGAGCTATCTGCTGTCTCTGAAGTATCCACCTCTGAAGACATTACATCTGTCGAGCCGGCGTTCTTTATTTCTGCGGTCGCGGAGCCACTAGGTTCCACGTAGGAGATATAGTCTTGTGCAGAGTCTGCTGCTGACACGGAAAAACCACGGAGGGTATGCCATCTTTCCAAATCGATGGTTTCGAGAAATTCATGCGGGTCTTTCAGCTTCATCTCAAATGACGAAGCTGCAACCGTGGCAGCGGATGCAAGATTGCCGATGGACCCTTGTATTGCAGTTAGACTTATGTCGCCATCTTCGCCCACGTGTTATCAACGTACCTTTGCCCATACGGTTCTCAAAGTTGCGGTTCTGAGACGAGATCCAGACTTCTCCCGGCCCAGCCTGGTCGGCCGACATGCCGACGCAGTAACTGCACCCCGGAATGCCGATCTCAAATCCAGCATCTTCGTAGATCTTTGCAAGACCTACCTCACGGAGTCTGTGTAGTATAGGCACCGAGCCCGGAACAACCTTCCTCTTCCCCTGAGAAATTGGCTTCATACCACGCTGGAGCCCTTGTTCCAGCACAAGAGCACCGAGAATCAGATCCTCTTCGGCAGTGGTGCAAGCACCAATAAAGCACCCATCCAGATGCATTCCTTCCTGCTCGGTGACAGGAACGACGTCGTCAGGGCTGGGGTACTTGGCCAGAAACGACCGGACCTCGCCAAGGTCTATCTCATGGGTTTCGGCATATTCGGCATCATCGTCGGGTTTGAAGTAGACGCTGGTGTTTTTGTGTCGGGGCAGGCGTCGCTTCTGGATGAAATCTTCCGTAATTTCATCGGGCACGAAAACACCGGTAATTCCGCCAAATTCCTACGACCGTTAGCACTTCTTCGGCCTTTATACGAGATGATAGACGGACCGTGGTCATGTTGCTAATGGCAAACCGAGCATCGCAAGAAAGATGCTTAACTCCTGGTCCGGTGAACTCGACGATCCTGTCTGCGGCCACAGTGTTCCGCTTCAGTTGTTGCAGAATGTACAGAATAGTGTCCTTGCCGCCAATCCCAGGCTTGGGAGCACCGACGAGACGAATGTTGACCGATTCAGGAACCTTGAACCACGTCTCTCCCGTCACCAGCGGAAGAGTCACATCGGCTGCTCCCAAGCCGATGGCCAGACAGCCTAATGCCCCGGAAGAGCAGGTGTGGGAATCGGAACCAACGACCACCATGCCCGGCTGGGCTCGTTCGCGGTAAAACTCGGTATGAAGGATAGTATACTACAGCGTGTAAGCACAAGCGGTGCAGTCTTGCAACTCTGAAATAGACCTACGTTCATGCCCTGATAGTCGGTCATCTTGAAGACGCGCTTAGCCCTCTCACTGGCGTCAATCAATGCCTTAACTTTGGGATGTTCATTCACCCGGGGGTCCACGACATGATCACCCGCTAGCCAGAACCGGTCATTCCGATAGATTCCAGGCTTCCCGAGATGCTCATACGTTCGTTCCATGCCCTATGAGTCTTGCGGTAAGCATCTGGGTATGTAGCTCTGCGCTGAATGAGAACACGTACCTTCCATGAGGCCTCAGAAGCAATTACCCAGTCGACGTCCACACGGATCAACTCTCCGGGTGCTACAGACCCCTTCTGATCAATATTGTGCAGCGCAAAGATCTTCTCGCTCAGCGTCATGCCACGTCGACCGGGGGGTCGGACCGCGAGTGGAACAGGTGGTGCCCTGGCGCGATCGGCCGAGTTCAAAGCTTCGAGCCATGCTGTGACCAGGAACGTAATTTCGGCTTCTTGCTCGGGTGTTAGACTGTCTGCTGCGGATAAACCGAGTCCTCCTATCTCCGTGGGTTGTTGGCTTATCGCGAGGACATCACTGAGGGCATTGGCCTCTCGAGGGTAGTCCTGTGCCCGAAGCGCATCGACTACTCGCACCAGCTGTTTAAGTAGATTCCCTATGGTTAGCAATGCGTATGCTTCATCCCGTTAGTAAATCCATTGCTGTGTAATTCTTTCATGCCCCAGACGTACTGTCTGTCTCCGAGAGGATGACATTCCGGGTTTGCTGCAGTACTTGCAGTAGGGAAGGGGGCCTGGGTTCGCTGGCGTCACCCATGATGATATTGTCTTGCTAGAAAGGCTTAAAGAGTGAGCATCTCTGAGCGGGATCGAAGAAGCTGTAAGGACTGCATCTTAATATATGAAATGGGATGCATCCTTCGCATCCTGCGTTCCCGGACTCGGCCCGCTTGCGGCCCGGAGGTTTCACAAGTATGATATAACAACATCACATGGCACCACCAAGCACTATTGCTGCTGCTGCTGCTGCTTGCTGCAACCCCTCAATTGCGCTTAATTACGCCCACATCGATTTACTGCACACATTACAATGGCCATTGCTCCTGCGGTTACCAAGCTTCGCCAGCTCTTGGCGGACGAGAGCAAGATTATTGTCTGTCCGGGGGTCTACGATGGCTTTACTGCCCGAATCGCCCTCCAGGAGGGATTCGATGCATTGTACATGGTAGGTACTACACCAATCACTGCTGGTCGGGGTTCTATCTGTCTACTGACACTGGTTGTCAGACAGGAGCAGGCACGACGGCTTCACGACTGGGACAGCCGGACCTGGGGGTCGTCACATTGAACGAAATGCGGGGGAATGCAGAGATGATCGCCAATCTGGACCCGACAGTTCCACTGATTGCTGACGCTGACACGGGCTTCGGAGGTACTGTTCCGCCACCAATGACAGGATCCAGTGGCTGACCAGGCATACTACTAGGATCTCTCATGGTCCACCGCACCGTCACCGAATACATCCGCGCCGGGGTGGCCGCTCTGCACCTGGAAGATCAGCCGACGAGTAAACGCTGTGGTCATTTGCGCAACAAGCAACTCGTCCCCGAGGATGAATATCTGGACCGCATTCAAGCCGCCGTGAATGCTCGCGCCCGGTCCCAGAGTGATATTGTTCTGATTGCCCGGACGGATGCCCTCCAGTCACTGGGGTATGATGCCGCCATTTCCCGACTCAAGGGAGCCATCGCCCTCGGGGCAGACGTAGCCTTCCTGGAAGGCATCACGTCCACGGACCAAGCTCGACAGGTCTGTGAAGAGCTCAAGCCCACCCCCGTTCTCTTCAACAATGTTCCTGGAGGTGTGTCGCCGGATCTCTCGGTTCAACAGGCGCAGGAGCTCGGGTTTCGGTTGATCATCTTCCCTGGATTGGCATTGGGGGCAGTCTACTCGGCGGTTCGCGGAGCGGTACAGCAATTGAAGCAAACCGGCACGCAGGCGGTGCGAGCAGGGGGAAGTCCGCGGGATTTATTCAATGTGTTGGGATTGCAAGAGGCAGTGGCGCTGGATCTGGCTTCGGGCGGGAGGTTATATGACAGGGGGGTTTGAAGGGTGAGGAATCGGAATGCTGTCTGTATATCAAAGTCAACAGATTGATGAGCCATAACTAGCCCTGAGAAAGATGACACTTCCCAAGAGCCCCAGGCACCCACCCATCATGGCCGGGCGGTGAGGTTAATGCCACGTTCTGGATTGGGCAGGCGGAGAGCCGAACTCCCTCTTCGGGAAGTCTATGTCACGTGTTTTGGTCCTTTATTACTATCTTTTCCAAATTGAATCCTTAATTAGGAAGCCAATCCTTGATAATTAGAAGTGCTTACATGTTTCTACATATGACAATTTGTTCACCTCCCCTAGTCAGTAGTACTGACAATTGATATTCAGCGTACTACCTCGCTTAATATATATAGTGGCTAGTACTATATCTAAATATATATATATATATATATATATATTCATAACCCTCTTTGAAAAGTTCGCTCGCAGAGATGCTTGACACGTTTTCTTTCCTTTCAATCTACACTGTCAATTCATTGAAAGAACTATCTCATCAATCAGATGTAATAGACAAAATTTATCGATCTTTCAGGAAATACTCAGAACAGCACAGAATTAATAAGTACTAATATGCCAGCTTGTGTCAAGCGTTACTACCGCATCTGATTGGCTGCTCGTGCTCGGACCTCTCGCCCTCCGAGCATCCGGAATGCCGAGAAGGACACCAACATGACAAGAGGTTCATCTTTATAGTTACTTTCTCCATCCATCTCCTCAAATTATCCAAGCATCAAAACCATGGCTGAACATCCCTCCTTCACTCTGGCTTGTCTGCGTAAGCTGACACCTCCCTAACTGCATCAATTCACCAGACATGGGCTAATCAATTGGCAACTCAACAGTGCCGGTGGGTGGCATCGCCGGCTACATGCGGACGCGTTCCGCTCCGTCCCTGATCGCCGGCGTCGGCCTGGGTCTCTCCTACGCTTACGCAGGTACGTAGCACCCACATGATGCAGGTATAAGAAGAAACACATACTGATCTCGAAATGACAGGCTACCTGATCAAGGAGAACAAGGACTACGGCACGGAATTGGCCTTGGGAAACAGTGTGGTCCTCCTCGTCTCCGGTCTCATGCGGACGATCAAGACCCGCGCTAAGGCTCCTATTCCCATGGCTTTGGGTGCCACGGGTCTGTTGGCGTCTTTCTACTATCAGAAGAAGGTGCGCGAGTTTAGATTCGGCGTGTAAGATATCCGACTGGCCTCGATGGACAGCACGAATGAGTGCTAGTGATAGCATTAAAATGTACCATATCATGTGTCCTAAATTCATTGTAAATGCTCAAGCACATCGGTGAATCTTACACAGTAATGGGGTATATGGCTGCTGAAGTTCAGTTTCTTGAGTCCTGATTTACCAAATGATTTACTGTTAGTTGACATATCGGGGCTGTTAGCCCGTTCGCAGAGATGCGTAGTCTTCATGGGCATACGTCATATCTTAATTGCGCCAAGGGAATACAATAGTCCAACGTTGGTTCCATCAATTCAATCAAGGCAAACTATAACATCATATACACTAAGAGACAAACAGTTGCAACACTTGCTTTTCAGAAGTATCAACAAAGGGGTAGCCCCAGGCCAAAAGAACTATCCCCCCCTTTCCGTCACTCATCTCACCATTGCCTTCGGACTACATCCATCGAAGCTTCAACAATCTCAAGCCTCACATCTCCAACGTCTTAGACGTACTTGACAACAACCTCGCTATCGCTGACGGAAACGGAGGTCAGAACCTCGTTCTGCTCGATGTCGATGATGGTGGCATCCTCAGGACCAACAGACGAGCCATCCTTGGTAGCGGAGCAGCTGGTAAAAGTCACGGTGCCAAAGTCGGCAAAGGGAACCAGGGAGTCATCATCCTCAAAGTCCTCGACGATCCACTCAGCGTTGTACTCACACAGATCGCCATCAACACCCCCAGTGAAGCTGTGGGTGACCGTGGTACCGGTGCTCACGTTCTCAATCGTGGCGGTACCAGTGGTATCGCTGCTGGCATCGACGGTGACCTTGATGGTATCACCGGCCGAGATGGAGATGTCGCTGAAGTCGTAGGCGTAGTCGGGGTACCACTCGTACCAGGCATCGAAGCTCACCTCACTGCCCTGGACACAGAAGTCCACACCGGTCTGGAGGATAGCGGTGTCACAGGTGTCACCGTCAATGCCCACCCAGGCGGAGGCACAGTATTCCTCGCGGCTCGAGCCACCAGAGGGCACCGAGGGGGTGGGCACGACGAACTCGGCGGTCACGGCAGTGTAGCCAGTGCCAATCAGGACGGCACCGGCCCAGTTAGAGCTGTACTCGACGTTCTTGGTGCCGTTGAGGGTAAGGACCTCGTTGGTGCCAGGCTTGAAGGGCGGGTTGCTCTGGCGGTTCGTGGAGCGCTTGGCCCGAGCAGCCTGGCGCTTGGCCGTCAGAGGAGCGGCCATAGCAGAGGTGGCCAGCAGGCCAGCGGTCAAGAGAGCAGTGGTCTTCATCTTAATAGAGAGATATTTGTGAGGTAATGATTTGAAGAGAGACTGGGAGATGCCTGGAGTCTGAGTGGGAGCTGTTTGGAGATGCTGCTGGATGAGAACTCTCTGGTAGGGAATTGGCCTTGATTATATACCCCTTCAGTGTCCCGTCTCCCCTCTCCTTGAAGCTCGATTTCCTCTTTATCCGCCAATTCCGATTCCTGCCCTGCCAGTGCAATATCGAGCAGATAACACTACCCGGATACGAAATTGACGCATTCGCCTATCGACCAGGGCGACGGTGATAGGACCGACGGTGGCTGATGGTGCCAAGGCGCCAAAGCAATGGTGTCTCCTGTCTGCAGCATTGAGGAAAAGCTCATCTCGCTTAGTCCGGGACTGGCGATGCGGAGGGTCTTGGAAAAAAGCTTCAAAGTTACAAGCATTCTTGGTAACGGAAGGATCACGGAATGTCTGTTTAAGCACCAGGCATAGATCTGTGGTTCCCATATGTAAATGAACAGCATTCACTTCACAACCTTGATAGCGACAGCAAAGGGACGATCATGCTGGTATCGAAGCGGTAGAGAACATTCAACTTGATGGTATCGGCTCTCGAGCTCTCTCGTCCCACCGTAGACCTGCAGAAGACCAGCTAACCGCGTGACATTGGGGCGCACTTTGCCTCAAGCGGAATGTCCATCAGACTACAATCCCCAACGATGACGACGTGTGGTCATGGCGTGATGATAACGAGGGGAATAGTCCATTGGTTCCTTGGAGATCGTCCCGTGTGTGGCAGATAAACTTCATTTAGGATGAAGAATGGGGGTGATTGAGTGGCTCGTGCCTTACCGAGCCTGTAAACTCCGGAGAAATCAATTTAATTAACCTTCACATCATGCATCTGCTCCTCGGCAATAGCAAGCCATGCAGAATCTGCATCGCAAAGAGCGGGTTTCCGCCCGCTGTAGAAACCTGGGGCTGGATGTTAAATACTGGATATTCAGGGGTGACAGAATACAGCGCATCTGCCAAATTTGCTACCAGTTCTACCCCCAAGTCTGCCTCAATGTGAAAATGTATGAGAAGACTGAAGATCAGCCCCTGAAGAGGCATAAGTGCCGGCATGAGGGGTCAGGCGTGGCCAAAAGGCAACGGGCCGGAGTCCGTCGGGATATCCACTTCATCCCCGGCGCCAACGGCTTTAGCCCCGCTTTGTAGGATGCATATCGCTGCTTCGTCATGATGCATCTCTACCGTTGTCCGGGTTTTAACACTTCCACTGCAGAAGCCATATGGTTCCAGGACCGGAGAGTTCGGGGATCAATCACAACGGCGAAGCGGATATGTGTCCAAATGGGGAACAGATGTCCGCACGCGTGGGAACCAGCTCCGTTGGACGAGATCAGAGGTCCTTTACCATTAATTTCCCCGGTATGATCATGCTATTGTGGCTATAGAGCCTTGGTGAGTCTGGAATGACGATGATCCTTGGTTGTTGAGGGGGACTTGACGCGCGCGACTGGGAGCGCCGTCTGCAATACTTGGTAACTTCGCGTCCGAAGTTTTCTTGGCCAGGCATGTACCCATGGACAGGAATCAGATGAATATGTTGTGACTAGACCATATCAGGTCAATTAACTGAACACATGAACGAGCATCGTTTCTTCTTAGCACCCAGAAAGGGCCATTCCATCTAGCTTATCCTTGCGGTGGAATGGACGGCCAAGAGGATATACCAGTTCGAACTGCCCAGAGCACGCGGGAAGATCGCTGATTTATTTGGAGTTGCCGCAGATCAGGTTCGATTCAACTGTATATTTCATACTGCTTTGGAGATCCTAACATGAGCGGCATCAGCAGGATAGGCACCAGATCGACCCACAAGGTCCTTGATGAGCAATGCCAGGTATAGATTGAAGTTACCGGTACCGAAGATCGACCCGATGTCGATCGTTGCTAGAAGAGGCTGGCGATCCCCGTTCACATCTAGGTACAAGCAGTCTATGCCAGCGAGACACAAAGCTCTGTTTGTTGAAATTTTGACTCTCAAGAAATTCGCAGCACCTAAGATCGGTCTTCGAAGGTAGTCGAAAATTGTGCAGTTGGTGGGTGTCTGACGAAGAAGATCATGTCAGTTCAAGACAATGACATGTAGAGACTTGTTATGATTCATGTGAAATTTTCGGCAAAGGCTCGTTTATTTTTGCTGTGGAAGTGTTGACTGTATTTAGTTGAATGTCACTGCCCGCTTTGCATACCCGGAGACTGATCATGCTGAAGCCATCGTAAACGGCTGACCCTTTACCAAACCTCTTGCCTAAGACCTATTCACAGTCTCATCACTTATAGGGGGGAAGGCATTCAGGCCTGAAAGATGAACATCAACATCAAACGGATAGAGTACAAAATACAGAAAGGCTAGACACACCGTCTCTTAAGAGGACTTTCAGGGGAGGGATGAGGTAACGCAAAACCTACACCCATTTCTCGAGATCTAACGGACGCTGCCCTTCATTCCTTTTGGAAGTTTGAAGCGCCTTGATAGGAAGTAGTACCCACGGACTCTCCCTCTCAGGGGTAGGACATAAGAACCACCCAATGCCCTTCCTTTTCGATCATGTGGAACGACAGCAGACGGATCACAAGCCTTCTCGTATTCGGGTGGATCAGATTGCAATTTTCAAACAGCCGGCTTACAACGTGCTTAGATGGCCCGCATAAATTTCGCGTGGCTCGAGGCCGCGTCTTTCGTGCCAAGAGAAGCTTATACGCCTCATGCTGAAGACCTCGCACATACTCATCACTTCGGAGGGCATGAAGAAACCGAAAGGATGGTAATCTGTCCCCAAACCTACTCTCTCATATGTAAGGTATAGGCTAAGTGACTGCTCACCATCCAGCAACTTTGAAGGAATCTACTCTCAGGGTGGTGCAAAGCCAGTCTGCTGGACCTTTTGTTTACGCCCTATGCCCTCACTCCCTTTTCCCCATCGCCTCCATGTGTATTTGCATCTCTGCAGAAGCGAAGGTTTCACCTGTACCCCACCATGTTGGTCCTAGGTCATCGATAGTATGAATATACGACCCACACTGACTTTTTGGTCTGGTCTACAGAGAACCCCATCTCTGAAGCAAGAGATGCGATTGGCGCATTGAAGCCGCTGACATAAACATCTTTCATATTCGTGAGTCTAAAATTGGAGGAGTTCTCAAGATAAGATCATGGCTTCATCAATGATGAGAAGTTTTTGTTCGGCGGAGCCCCAGCATCGAGAGCGCGGCCCATCAGCAGTCCAGTCTCCGCTGCAGAGATTGCTGCCATGCAGTCCTCCTCCTTTTGGATACACACGCTACAAGCATCTTTCGTTCTTTGCTCGAGTCAGGACCAAACAAGGGAGTGAAGAAAAAAAGAAGGTCAGAGCACTGCAGACTTTTCTGGTCAATCCCTGCCGTTTTCTATCGGCGGGTAAGGGTGGGTCGGCAAATTGGTCGGCTGCCATCAAGAATTGAGATCATCAGCCGCTTGACACTGACAGTGACCAGAATGATGGGCCCTTGACTGATCCACCCCTGTATCTACTCTCTATCTCTCTACCGGCGATTAGCTTTTTCTAGCTTTTCGGCAAGTCGGATCTCAGCAAAGCTTGCTTGACTGGTTGAGTATCGACGCGCGTCAAGACCCTCGCCTGGGGCGCGCCAAGCCCTGCCCTACGTATTCCTGACGGGGCGCCTACGCATGGCTGACTTTGTTGAAGCTATTCCCATTTACGGGCAAATACCAGGCTCTCAGTAGCTGTAGAGAGAACTGTGCGTTTGACTGCTACTGGGCACAATCGCTTCACCGGCATTTGATCCACCTGGGGTGCCTTCTCTACAACCCGAAAGGAGATCCACGAACTATCGCTGCGCAATACTTGTGGCTCATTTATGTCTCCAATTCTAGAAATGTCTTCTCCTATACTCCCCTCTAAGCTGTCCTCAGAGTATACCTGAGCCCAACGATTGTGCTACACGTTCATCTGACCGACCATCCTGTATCGGTGCCCCTATCATATAGTGTCCGGGATCGTGTGCCTGCCACAACGACCTCGGCCCTTCGTTGTCGCTGGAAGACGCTAAACGTCTGTTCAAGGGGGATCCAGCATGAGTTTTTCTGGGTGTGGCTGAAACCTTGGCCTCCTGGAATACAATCCGCTTCTATCACTGATGTGGACCGTTCGTAATCCGCTCCTCCATTCCCATGTCACCGGCTTTCCAGCCTTATAGAAGAAAGCCTCCGGACCTTTCCCGATTGATACTTTCCAGTGTCGATTCGTGGTTGTAAGGATTATTCTGAAGGCTCCTGCTCACCGTTTCGAACAGTGAGAGGTATAAAAGGCATAGGTTACTGCTGAGGTTTTGAGGTCTTCATTCTTTACATTGTACTTCAGTCTCTCTTTCTTTTCTTCCGAGTATCCAACCTACCTTTGACAGTCATTTATCTCTCCTTTATCTCTTTATATTTCTTGATTTTAATTTTTTTCAAATTAATAAGCGTCTTCCATTCTCTGCTTCACAGGATGAAGTTTTCGTCGTTCGCGGTGGCATTGGCGCTGGCAGCCACTACCTCTGCTGCTGCAGTCCCTCATTCATCTGCTAATACTGACCAGAGAGAGACCACTTCTCATGATATCCCTGGATTCTTCAGTAGAAGCTGCACTCGCGAAAAGATGACTGTCCGCAAGGAATGGCGTCACTTAACCACGCACGAGCAGAACAGTTTCCTTGACTCCGTTCAATGCTTGATGAACAAGCCGGCCCAATCCGGGTTGACGGCAACTACGAGTCGGTTTAGTGACCTTCAGGCCCTTCACCGGGGAATGACAAACACGGCGTATGCGGATATTATCCACCATGTGGTAGGTCAATCTCAATGGCTCACGATATGCCTATTCTCTCATTAACAGCCTTGCCAGGGACAATTCCTCCCCTGGCACCGCTACTACATGCACATCTACGAGGCCCTGCTTCGTAATGAGTGTGGCTACAGCGGTCCTATGCCGTACGTATTCCCATTTTACTCACCTTTGGCGCATTCAAATGGACAGCAAAACTAACAGATACTGCTATTAGTTGGTGGGACGAGCAAAAGGACGCTGACAGCGGCAACATATGGCAATCGTCAATGTGGGGAGCGGATGCCTTTGGTGGCAATGGAACCGGATCGGACTACTGTGTACGCGATGGCCGGTTTTCCAACCTCACTCTTCACATTGGGCCGGGCGATGAAGATACAGACTACTGCTTGCGCCGCGCATGGGACACCAAGAACGCGATTGCGAACGCCAATAGCACAGCACTGGAGATGTGCAATGCTTATAACACCTATGCTCCTTGGTGGAATTGCATCTCCAACATCCCTCACAAGGGTGTACACACTTATATTGGTGGTGTGGTATGTGACACTACTCAGTACGCACCGAACCGTATGCAGAACACTGACTGACGAAATGCGCAGATGGCGGACATCAAGTCCTCCCCAGGCGACCCGATCTTCTTCATGCACCACATGTACATTGACCGGGTTTGGTGGAAGTGGCAGCAGCAAGATCCCATCAACCGGTTGTACGACATCAGTGGTCCGACTCTGAACCACACAGCCAACGTGGAGCCTGCTGGAGGCTGGCAGAACGCTACTCTTCACTACGAACTCTCCTCATTCAACATCATGCCCAACGTAACTATCGCCGAGGTGATGAACACCCAGGGAGGTTACCTGTGCTACGGATATGATTAAAGCAGGACCTGTGGCAGGGTCTGTATTTACTAGAGCTTTCTCTCCTGACCAACTGCTTAGACCTTCGCTATAGGCATTTGCTTTTGATAGAATTTCAGATAGACCAAGGGAGAATTCTAGGTACACTGTCATACCGCCCGTTTCATCTACCACACCGTAGACATCAGGTGTTTCCAGATTAATTTCTGTTTGAAATACTATAGGCCTGGTTTTAATATAATTACACGAGCATGCGTCTTAGGTTGAATCGTGCCGATTGGCACGCTGCTGTAATTGTTTAGATTTTGGGTATCAACACGGAAAGCTACCAATGAACTTCCCCATTATCCCCGGATACAACCTCCGCACCACCACTCCGTATTCCAGACCCTGATTATGGACGCGCGCATTGACTGCATAAGGCGCTCGTATCATGCTCTGGAAGCCACCAGCGTCAGATCCCTGCTTTTCTCAATATCTCGAAGATTCCTTGTTGTTGGCCTGTCATGGAATTGCCACCGACAGGGCACTTAAATAATTGACGCAGCATGATTTCACGGGGGATCCAGACATATGCAAAAGATCATCGGTTCTGCAAAGAAATAGAAAACCAAAAAAAAAAGTTAAAGAAGACGGAGTCATGACAGTACCTGCCAAACGCTTGCCACGCGCGCATACTAACATCCTGTCCTAGTCCCAACTGATCGGAAATCTTTAATTCTCCGGCGACAAGATACATCAGAGTTCGCAAATAAGACATTTTGAGCTGCAGTAGTCGTGGAATTTAAGAGCGATACGTTTGAACAGGGCAGCTTGATTGAGTCCATGTCCTGGCAGTAAAAGTCCCCCGTGGTGGATGAGTAGCCACTGAGAGAGTGATATGCTTCATCCATGCACCTTGCTATCTTCCGCCTTCTCAGCCCTGCAGAGGCCAATGCAGGCGGTGCCTCGTGGGACCGTCATTTGTCGTCCATTTTTGCATTGTAGATCCAGGAAACTCTTCGTTAACCAGAGGCACTAAGTATGAAAATCATCCCGTTAAGGCATGTCTAATGCACCAACCAAACTTTGTTCCAGAACAGGCTGTGACAAAGTACGAGCAATGGCTCCAAAAGGACGTTGCTGCAATTTAACTTTACTGCTTTTTTACTCTCTTGCATATATGCTGACGTCGAACATGATCGATGGAGAAGATAAAATGACCGTAACACCCATCACATCTTTTACAAAGAAATTCATTGGAAATCTGGTCTCATCCTTTACTCTTTGCCTCTGTGAGTACAACCATAGGCTCGATCAACAGAGACTTTGAGCTTCTATTCTCCTGCCGCAATTATCGAACGTGGGTACTTCATCTTTCACTAGCACAGCCATCTCCTCATGAGCTTCTCGGCAGTTTTGGCCAGCACGGTGTGTCTGGCCTCATGTGCCGCTTCAGGCGAGCCATCTCTTTGCACGATCACCATCTTGCCGCTTACCCTCCTGGTGGGTCTGGCTGCCATCGGTCGTATATTCCAGAGCAATTCGGCGGTTGAAGACATGGTCCAGGATGCGCCCATGGGCAGAAGGCGTATGCGCCAAGGGATCGGCCGCTCAGCACATTCCACAAGAGAGGCCTGACTGGTGAGCCCTTATTGGCGCCCTCCCCTGTGATCTTCCCCAAGTGGAAATGCTGATCTTTGATAATTTGGGAAGGTTAGGATCTTCACCATCCCACTCAGTCCAGCTTTCCGGTGCCGAAGTGATCCGTGCACACTAATATCTCAAACGTTGGCCATGGAGGAACTGTTGATGCGATGCGACGCAACGTGATGTATACAGCGCGATGTTCTACGATGTTTTCTGGCTTCCCTGGTTTTTCTACCAACCACTTCTGTTTCAGCGTTTCCTTGGATCCCTGGCTGCTTGCATATTCCACTACAGAGTAATTATCTCTTACAATATATTATACGTATTTCCAAATTGCTTGTTTAGCCGAATGAAGATATCCGCAGATAGGCAGAGCAGAACAAACCTACCGGTTGCCCGCCTTGCTTCTACCTCCTTGCGTAGCCAATAGCCCTGTAGTATATAGGGAAGAGAACTACGTGGTCCATGTGACGTCAACTAATCAAATTCGTACAACTCAAGAGTAGTTCAAGTCATTGGCTTGCCCCTCTTCGCTGTCTTATCACAACTGCTGGTTCATGGAACGAGCCAGGGTGCGACAAGGCAAACCTGACACAACCTCGAGCCTTGCCGCCGAACCCTACTCTGACAATATCAAGGAAACCAAATCCACTGACCCCCCGTGACGTGGAATACGGGATAAATGTCGCCTTAATCAAACACGACCTTTCCAAGCGGATATGCATGCGATCGTGCCCCCCGGTGGCTGCATTCCGTCAGGACCACAGAACTGGGGATGAAATAAGGGGCCGCCCAACGCCCAATCTCATCCATTCCGGATACTATGTCCGCAAGGCGCGCCGGAAGCCCCTCCTGGGCCCAAGCGTGGCAGTCCCAGCTCTTGACAGGTGGAGCCTAAAGTTCTTAACGTTATGGAGATATAATCAGTAAGCAAAGACCTCTCAGTAAAACAATGAGGAGTTCTCAGTATCCACTTCTAATAAGAGTTCCTCGTCAATCCAATGGCAAAACCAAGTTGCCTATCTTCTCCGTAAAATAGAGTTGTTCCAGACAATGGAACCGCACTGGTCTCCACCGATAAGCAAAGGGAGATTGTCCGTATGACGATCTGTGGAGTTGATGGGGAAGTCGGTCTTTCGTGCTCTTGGAGTTTCCAGGGTAGTTCGACAAGGACGGGGAGCTGCCTGCATCTCAAGCTGATAATCTACCTCGTAAGTCTTCACCGCAATGTGATGATCCGCACTTTCGCAGCGAGAGTGAGGACTATTGTGACGCTTTGATGCGTGCTGCAAGACAGAAGTACATGCCCTCGGGATTTGGCCCGTTGCAAGACGATCGTTGGAAGACGGATGTTATCACACACATCATTGGCCAGGATACAGCCCCGACAGGATGCAGATACAGGTTCTAGACGCAAAACTATGGATAAACATGTGGTGCGTCAACGGGTGAATACGGAAGCATGTAAGGGCAACTGGGTCTGTTGCATCTATACTGCAGACTATATGCTGTTTCGACGTGTATAACCTGATTTCAGACACTGATTATGCAGTTCCTCGGACAACATGACATGGAAAATCCTACTATATGCTGTATAACTCGATGAAACCTGAATCATGAGCGTAAAGAAACGGGACTCTATTGACATATCTCGGGATATGATCATTACAGATTCCCTGAAATAGAAAGGATTACTGCATACCATGCTTGCCATTAGCAAAGGCCACTTGGTAGTGGTGCGCGTGACTATAGCCCCCCACCAAAGTTTCCCTTACACCTCGTGTAGCGCTCATTCTGATTCATGTCTGCCTGTACACCCTAAAGTGTCCTGATTCAGGCGACCTGATTATAGACAGAGCAGCGAAGATATCGGTCTGGTACGACTCTGAGCACTGAAGGTTCTCCATTGCATGTTAAATCACTCGCACTCCAATCGATACCTTATCCCTACTAAGAGCAGAAAAGAGGAATGTGCCAATAAATTCGGTAATTGGAAATGTAAATTTCAGTCGACAGATGAATCCCATGCTCAAGACCCACTTCCAGTAGCGCCCTCGGTGATTTTTAAACCTAATAGAGAATTCCAATGTTCAATCAGAAGCACAAGAGCTTCAGTAAAGATCCTTTGTGCCCTTTAATCCAATGATCCTCCGTAGAGCATCAAATTACATCAGGCGTTAACTTTATGATTCATGGAATCTTGATAGAGCGCCCCTAGTACCTTTCCCGAGTCGGATGACAGCCCTCCTGGACCTGCTGTACCGTTGGGCTGCTGCAGGTTTCCCTGACATTCGCATGACACCAACATGGCCTGTCCTATTTGATGTTTGGAATTACCAGAATGAGTAAGAGAACCTCTCAAGGAAAGCTCTGTGATGCGACTGCATACTCTCCGAGGATGTCAGTCTAAATTGACACTGCTTCATTCACCGTAATTTCATCAAATTTCCCATGTTGTGCACATGGCCATGCAGCTTCTGTATGCCTATCACTGAGCACATTATGGACCTCATCCACCACCAAGCAGCGTATTTCTCCGATAGCTTTAGCAGCCACTACACCAAAGGTAGATAGCTCTGCGCGAGGCAACAACAAAGACAGTAGCATTCCTGGACAGGACTACACTGAAGCACATTATCATGAGACTCGTGGGATTTTCAGACAATACTGGATATAGTAGCAATCAACATTGCAACTCTCGGACCTACCTAGAGATGAAGGCGTAATTCCTCAGCCAGCTTTGTCCTCCACCCGTAGACTTTGGTTGCGATTCTACACTAACCTCGTACTAGTACCGAATGCCCTGGTGGAGTCCACACTCACACGAGTTGCCACAACGGGATACTGTAGGTTCCCCTCAGGGCCGTGCGACAACCACCCGTCCAAGCCAACTTGATTCTATCTGCAAAGTATTCTAGCCGATGGTGTATAGCTATTCAATCACGGTACAGCAAGCAAGTATCGATTCATTGTCAAAGCGCTTTTCGCCATTGAGACGTCATTGGCATTGGTTGGCCTCCGGGGAGCTCGAGGAAAAGGTATATAAGGACGCCCATTGACTGTCCTTTACGATCCAAGCATCAAGATTGAACTCTCACAAGTACCCAAGCACCAGAAATCAATATAGTTGTTCTATCCATCGAATACTCTACCTCTTTCCTTTCCCTGCACTCACAATGGCCACTGCCACTCAAACTGCTCTCTTCGGACCTGACCTCTACCCTCCCATTGAGAAGGTATCCGGTCAGCTCTCTGAAGACATGAAGATCGTGACTGAGCTCCGTAAGAGCTGGAATCCCACCATTGGCTTGCAATTGTTCGATGCTCGCAATCCCGTGGGCATCTACGACGCACACATGCGGGCGGCCATCTTCCAGGAATGTCTGGCCTGGACCCGTTGAAGGACCTTCCTGATCCCGAGCTCCTCGCTACGGCAGCTCCCAGCCGTCTGGCCTTTCTGCCTCGTGGTGAATACCTCCTTCGTTGCTTCCGAGAATCGTTCCCCGATGTCCCAGACATCCCCTTCTGGCACGCCGTGGCAGAGCAAGTCTACGGCTTCGCCTGGTGTCTGGTAGACAACACCAAGCTCTGCCACCAGTGCGTATGCAGGAGCTCCACCGCCGGCGTACTGGCCTGTTTCCCAGACTACCTTCACTTCCTGGGCGACTTACCCGTGGTGCTGGACATCTGCACGCAGCGCGTCAGCGAGTACATTGAGCACGTCCACCGAGACTACGGGCCCGGGCCACATCGCAAGATCATGGACGCCTGGCTGATGTGCAACCAATCCGTGTATCTAGACGTGCTGCACCCCAAAGCGACACAGTTGAAGTTCCCCGACGATGAGCGGCGCAGCATCAGCTACCGGCTGATCAACTCGGCGGGCCGTGCATTAGCCCTGCATGCGCAGCTGGAACAGCCGCTGATCGGCACGGACGAGGAAGTGGATGCCATTTCGTTTGCATCCACTGTGATGCATGATGTCTGCGACTATCGACATGATAATACTGCTAAAGAGTATTACAATCTGTTGACGATTGTCAGCGTGCACCAAGGAGTGCCGAGCACAGCCATGGTGCGACGGTTTTGCATTGATGTGTGGGCGTGGGCGCTGGACAACGGCGCCCTGTGGGCCATTCATCTGGCAGGCCGCGACTTGGCCTGGCAGATTTACATGGCGCGGTATCAGAACGGGTTGTTGCTGGACAAGCTGATGCCTCCGCGCAAGAATAGTCCCGGGTCTGATGTGGACCCGTACGGCGATGCGGTGCTCAATGCCATGAACCCGATGCTGAAGGCAGTGGGACGCAGCGACCAGCCAGGGAGCTATTCGTTGCGAGACCGGTGCCAGAACCCGCAACGCTACGATGAGCTGCTCCAGCACTGTGTCCGACATTTCAAGGAGTGTCCGAGATGCTGGGGCTACGATGCGATGACCTGGCAGGAGCGGGTGCCGGCCATCGGAAAGGCCTATGAGAAGAAGTATACGGACTGCAGCTGCATGAACATCATCAGTGCGTATATGATTCTCACCTCGCCCGATCGGCTGTGGTGGTTGGCGGATCCAACTGCTGAGTATACTGGACCTCAGGAGAAATGGTCGGCGCTGCTGTGCTAGACGTCTGATTAGGCTGTAGCAATTGTCAGCCGAGACAAGCCTATTCACGCAAGAATGCCTTGTGATCGTGTTTTTTTTTTGCTAGCTTCTTTGTCTGAACTGATCCAGAATGGAAGTAATGAGTTCTCAGTAGTTGAATTTGAAATCAATCCGCTTATGCGATGATGTTGTGATCTTGATTGTAGCCCCGTCGGTGGTTGGAATAGTAGTAAAGTCCAATTACAACTATTCTGCTGTCTGCACCATCTTGTCCACAGTGACAATAGTGATAGGATTCTGAATGTCTTCTCGACGGTTCACAAAAGCCATCAGTCGCTCCTACATATTCCAAGCTTAGCATCCATGGGACACGATTATTCTTCACTTCTTAAGACATGCAGTGACTGGAGTAGCGCTGGAGGGTGCCGTTCCTGGCCGGCTCATCAAGTTTTATCGAATCCCTTTTCCAGGCCATTTCATGTAATTGAGCTACGATAAATGACGTGCTAAAAGCACGAAGTCCAGAAATGAGCAAGTCATCTGATGTCCGCTCAGATCAGTTCCATCGCAGCGGCCTCCATGCGACCTGCAACATGGTAATCCAGGTTTTCAACCCAACCGATCAGCTTCCAACTCAGATGTTCCTCCCATGTGACTCCAGTGGAAACGAGAATAGCTTGTATTGTCATCCGTGCCATGGTGCTAGTAATAATTTCGCAGATATGGTATCCCAAACTCCAAAGACTTCAAAAAGAATAATCGAGTCATTCAACTATGCAAAACTCAAAAAGGTCATTGTACAGTGGCGTCCATCTGCTGCCCCTACGCTTCGTTCAGCTGGCGTTTAAGCTCCTCGGCCTCCTCGGGAAATTCAGCGTAGTAGTCGGCGTACAACTCCAGCAGGGCCGTTGCGTTGCTTCGCTTGGCGATGGGAATAAATTGGACCTAAAGGGTTCGGTTCTGTTAGCAAACCCAGGGAAACCCGTAATAGATCCATTTCGGGGCATATACCTCGTAGGTAGTGAACTTGTCGCCGTTGATGCACTTGCCGGGCGGCAGGGCAAAGCCGTTGCCATCGCAATCCGATTCAGCAAACGCCGTGAGAACATAGTCGCCAGGTGAACCCTTAAGAGACTTGGAACTGCTCGAATCCAAGGTCAGACACGTATCCGTTTTTGAGCTACTCGAATCCGTTGGGTTGTCCCCCTTGCAATCCTTTTGGGAGTAGCCATGAATAGTAGCGGCCTGGGCGAAGGCACTGAAAGCCAAAGCGAGAAGGATGGACTTCAACTGCATGATGGGCGACTGAGATCAAAAGAAAGCAAGGTGAGACAAAGCGTTGGAACGAGTGTATGTTGGTGGAGGTAGTAAGGACGGGCAAGGAGAAAGATGGACTGGTCCAGTGGAAGGATAAGCAACGGTCAGGAGAAAGAGCGATGGGCGAGGGGGCGGCGGCGGCGGCGGCGTCGGCAATCAAATCAGCCTGGACTGGACGTGTGGTGGGTCAGGAGAGAGGGAGAGAAAAAGGCCAGGAGCAAAAAATAGCCATGAAACAGGAACCGACCGAGGACCAGTGGGGGCCGGGCTGGGCAAAATGGCGGCTGGATTCGCGGAGGGAAGCCATGGATGGAGTCCGATGGATGGGCTAGTGGCCGCTAGCCCGGGGAGTAAGACGCGTCATTGGCGAATGAAGCCCATCAGGCTCCGACGGCGATTTCCAAGGATCGGACACAGTGCAAGTGGCAGTGATTGGCGGTGGGTTTCATGATCTGGATGATCATCCTGACAAGCAGAACATGTATATAGATGCCGAGTTGGTGCGTGAAGAATATGCAAAATAAGCCGAACGGGGATTGTTCTTTCTGATGTTTGATTTGATTGAGATGAAGGAAGAGGGAAGAGTTCGTCATGAAGTTATTCAGAGTGGGAATTTTGGATCAGGTTAGCGATCAGGTGAGCGGGTGAGGCCAACAAGGCAGCAAGTCCACCCGAACAGGCCTAGTGGCCAGGCACCCACAATCTCCCTCAATCTTTTGGTTTTCTTCTTCATCGCAACATCCATCAGAGATATTCAAAACGACGGGATATTGCACTTTCCCTCTGGACTAAGCCTCATTTCATGGGATATTAGTCTACATCAAGCCACCTGGAATTGATTTTCATTTGCACAACCTCAAACAGCAGGGGATCGGTAACTATCGACGATCCTCGAAGCGTATTTACTATGTACTCCGTACTGCTTATAGGGGATCTATTTTTATCCCTCTCTAGTGGTCGGTCCACCGCTTCAACAATGAACTAAAATGTGTCAAGCTTCAGTCAAACCAGGTACCACAATTGCTTATCTTGTGCTAGACTATAAGTGTTGTGGAAAATAGGTATGATGTGTATGTTGCTAGCCAATAGTCTCGCGGTTTTTCATAGCTTCCTCACTGACCATCCTCCAGATCGTCCTGGCGGCCCTCCCAATTTCCCAGGAGGATTGCCAACCCAGCCGCCCCATAAAGTCCACTCACCAGCAAAAACGGCGCCCCCGTCCATACTCCACCCCTTGCCAGTCCCCAGCCATACGCCGTCGCCATCATCGGCCCGGCCACCAATACTCCGATTCCCTGCATCACCGCAATCGCCGTATACAGCGTACCCATGTGATGTGCGTCAACGAGCGACGTGATAATGCGCCGAGCAAATAGATGCATCGCTGACCCAAGCGCATACACTACCAGCCCCAATACTGTGCCCGCTGGATGGCTGGACAGCGCAATTAGCAGACATCCCACGCCCATGCAAGCGCTACTCGTCAGAGCCAGTCTAGTGTTTTTGGTGAATGGGGACATGCGCCGTCGCTCTATGAGCCAGTGCGATATGCCTGGCAGGATTACCAGAAGCAGCAGTAGTCTAGTAAATCCTCGCACGGGTATGAGGAAGCTGGCCTAGAAAGGAAAAATGTTAGGTCTGGCCATATCGTGGTTTTTCCCGGTTCCACTCACCTGCGCAATCGTCCAATGAAACCGGTCGACAGCGAAGAGCAGAAGCAGTTTCATTACCTGCATTCCTAAATACGCAATAAGAACACCGCCAAGAACAGTTGCACCCGGCGATGTCGCCAGATCACAGCGATTGACTGGCCCAGCTCATCAACTGCAGCTCTGATGCGCCCCCGGATATTCTGTCGTTGTGATACTTGCTCCGATGAAGACGATTGGCCGGGTGGTGTCTGTGGTAATGTCTCCGGTAAGAGAAACAGGAGGAGGCCACCAGCAGCATTGAAAACAGGCGATAGTAGATACGGTAGCCATATATTCTTCGTCATGAGCAGGGCACTAAGCGGAGTGGCCAGAATCTCGCTGACGAGCACCGTGGCCGCTACGTAGAGGAATGCCGTGGTTCTAGACTTTGTGAGCTAGGTAATCCTCCACTAGAGGCATGGAAGTCTCTTACTGCTCTTCGTCGCTGAAAAGATCAGCGAGTATGACATACATCATGGAAGTGGCTACTTGGGTGCCACCACCCAACACTTGAGCTATTGGACCAAGCCAGATCAGTCGCAGCGGGAGTTGATCGGAGAACCAACCTGGACGGTAATCAACCGCATCAGTTATTGAGACCTAGGAGTACCTCATCTATAGGATTCGCGCTCACCGACAGCCTTGGTCCACGCATCGCTCAGCGTGAATCCCACCGCGCATAGAAGCAACACCGGCCGACGTCCGATCCGGTCGGCCAGCACGCCGTATGGCACCGCGAACAATATACCTAGAATATGTCAGTCGAGCTCTGATAAATGAAGAAAGTGATCCCTACCCGGCACCTGCTCCAGCGTATCCTTCCAGTCCTGTAGGAGAGCCACCTCCCTCTGCACGCGGTCCATTTGGCATTCCGGCCCATCCTGCCCTACGGGACAGAACTTGCGAGTGACGATCTCGAGCCAGACTTCAGTCTGGGGCGCCTAAGAGAGATACTCGGCAAAGTCTTGAACGAGGATAATGAAACAGATCAAAGCCAGTACCCGCCATCGCGATGACCGCTCTTTCGGCTGTTTGGAGGGTTCGAGTAGAGGCGTGTATTCGCTGGCAGCCATAAGGGAAGGAAATTATGATTGCGCCTGGAACCAAAATGGACCATAGAGGGGAAGAAAAGGGAGAAGGGGGGAAGCATGGATATCACTTTTGGGGTTGCTATGGCTTGCATATCCCTGGTGCCTGTCAGCCTTTCGACCAGCTCAGGATAGGCCCCGATAAGGTCATCCCCGGCGAATCATGGGGCGCATCAGCCGCCCTAACGGTCGTCCGTTGGGAAACACGCTGTACGTATAGATTGGCTCAACCCCTGTCGCCGTAGTCAAGCTGTCCGGTTTTGGGGTCGTACACCCCAGTCAGCTCGGACGTCCGGGTGATCCCTCCGCGAGGTGGCTGAGGCTTATTGCAGCCAGTAACAATGGAAGCATCATTCTTTGTCCGATTGAATAATATATATCCTTATCAGAGTTTATCGCGGTCAAGGAATTAGCTTGAAACAGTGGACCACTGAATGACTTTGTCTCAGCCAATTTATTGGTCCTTACTACGCCGACGTCAACAATCCTTGTTCTGCCATTAAGGGCACACCCATGGTTACATATCGCCGTATGACAAGGCCAAAACAACAGGATAGTCTGCAATATCTGACCTCATGCGGTCCATCGCCAATTTGGATCCTTCCATCCGCCCACCAGCGACTTGGTCGACACGTCCGCCGCGGTGAGTCTCGCTCCTTGCTCGCGATCGCGACGCCGGTTATCGTAGCGGAAATACGTTCCCATCCCCAGGATTACCAGCACTCCGAAAAGGAGGAATGCGCAGTTGACGATTAGCGCCGGCTTATATCGCGGGGCTGTATCTGCCTTGAATGCCAGACTGGACGGGATGCCAGCACAGTTGGCCGCGCCCACCAGGAATCCTACCGTCGCGGCACGCTGCGATTCGTCGGTGACATTGTTCGTGTGCCAACTATGGAAGACAGAGCTGGGCACGAAAGCCCCGGCTGCCAAAAGAAAGCACGCAAAGTAGGCAACACCCTGGTGCTCTGACGCGTCCACCGCGATCAAGATGATGTACCCGACAAACGTGATCATCAGCGAGCCTGCCAAATGTATGGAACGTTCCCGGAAGTGATCAGATGATTTGCAGATAATCCATAGCACGAGCGTGCCGACACAGTACGGCGCCACCGTGTAGAGGTTCGTCTTGATGGTGGAATACCCCAGGAGAGCCACCATCTGCGGTAGGAAATTGCTAACGGAGGTCTGGGCGACGCCGTAGCAGAAGCAGCTGACAGCCCATGCTAGCACACGCCAGTCACTCAGCGCCGCCAAGGCTTCGGTGATCGAGAGCTTCTCGCCCGTTCGCACCGACCCGTCCTGCAGCAGGCGCATTTGGGCCGCGCGAGCTTCAGCTTCGTTGAACCAGTGGCATTGGGCGCCGCTGGCGGGGAGCCACCAAAGCGAGAAGGATGCGATGATTAGGGTGGCGCCGCCTTCGATGAGGAAAAGGTACTTCCAGCCTGGGAGGTGGTGCTTGATTTGAAAGACGCCAAAGGAGATGAGGCCGGAGAAGGCACCTAGAGACGTCAGAAGGATCAGGTATCAGAGAAGGGATACTCACCAGCGATCGTGACCATGCCGTAGAAGATACTCAGTCGAAAGGCGATCTCGTTGCGTTTGTAGAACTGCGTGAGGTAGAAGATCACTCCAGCTGGTGCGGTCAGCAAGCAGGTCAGCAGCGGAAGCTTTCACCTACCAAAGAACCCTGCTTCGAAGATCCCCATGATCAAACGGCAGACTAACAGGCCTGCAAAGTTGAACACGGCGCATTGCAGCAGTGTGATGGAACCCCTGGGGCTATGGTTAGCGGGATCAGATATACCAGAAAGGTAACCCACCATCCTATCATCATTGTCGGTAGCATCACCTTTCCGCTAAATTTTTTCAACATCAAGTTGGACGGCAGGTCAAACAAGCAAAATGTGACGTTGAAGACCGCCAATATGACATTATACTGATTTCCGACCAGGTGGAGGTCGTTCTCGAGGCCATCTGTTTTAGCATTACCCAGGTTGGAGCGGTCGAGGGAGTTGAAGAAGTACATGAGCGAGAGGACCGGAAGCAGCCTGCAAATGAGCATTTCTCCAGCAAGCAAGAGGATGGAGGAAGTACCGGAAGTCCAGCTTGCGCACGACCGACCGCTCCGCTGCGGCGTCGATGGGGATGGAGTCTCCTACTACGACACCTGCTTCTTCTGCGACAGCGTGTGACTTGTAGTCATCTTTCTGCGTGTCCATGGCTGGATTTGGTGAATGTTACAGTGAGACAGTGGTCAAATATATGCCTCAGACAATTACGAGGTGTTTTCTGTCTTTGAGAAAGGACGCTCGATGGACAATCGGGAGCAGCCCGAGGATATATGCTTCAGTTCACTATCATCTTCGCTGTCGAAGTCAAGAGTCACATGGCATATCGACTCTGTCACTTATCGATCCTGATGCCAGCAACAGATAAGATGGAAGATGGAATCAAACAGGCTCCCCTTCGTATCATTCCGCCATGAGGAGTAAATCCAACGCATATCAGGGTTGGATTGCCGCAAATGGAAGCCCAGGCGGGCCAGCCCGATGCCAGCGATGAGATGATAGACAACCCCTCTCTGGAACACATCATCTTCGTCCTTGTAGCATCATCGCCATCGTCCTCATTCCTTCCAGGAAGGTCCATCCATCCCGTGTCTGCAGCAGCCCCGCGTTATCAGTGTGAACTAGCATTAAAGGGTGGGGGTGTCCAGCTTCTCCGCACGACCAACTTTATCCTATCAGTAGCTTGGCAGCGCCTCTGTCAGAACCAATCCACAACTATAAATTGCACCGGCCCTGATAAGCGTGCACCAGTTACTGTGTATCTACCGTACATTGATCATGTCTGCTCCTGTCGACAAAACCGCCCCGGTCGCCATTGTTGGCGCGGGCGTGTTTGGCCTCTCCAGCGCTATTCATCTGGTTCGGAGGGGATACCACAACGTCACCGTCTTTGACCGCCAGCCCTACCACGAGACGCTTTACGACTTTGATCGTGGCTGTGATGCCGCATCTGCAGGTACTGCGCACCGCAGCCAAGTAGATACTTATGCTAATGGCAACTATCAGATTGCAACAAGATCATACGGGCTGCCTACGGCCACGAAACGTGGTACCAGAACTTCACCCTGGAAGCAATCAAGGCATGGGAGGCGTGGAACGACACCCTCGCCGAAGGGACAACTCTGCCCCCTGGAATGACTCGCAAAGAACGCATCTATGTCAACTGCGGCAACTACCATTTCGGTGACCACGGCGATGCAGCTGGCCTGAACCCCTTTGAAAAGGCCTCAGTAGAGAACCTGACCAAGGCCGGCCTGGGGCACACTCAGTACCTGTTTGCGTCCAATCCGCAAGAAGCTACCCGAGCCAAAGCAGACGGCTATGGCTACGCAGTCGACCCCTTCCACCTATCGCGCGACGGACAACAACCAAGCGGATATCTCGATATGATCGGGGGATTCGTCTACGCCGACAAGGCATGTCGTTACGCGCTCCATCTAGCGGAGAAACTAGGCGTCAAGCTCATTTTAGACCGCCAAGCTGGTCGCTTCGAGGATCTCCTCGAATCCAATGGCGAAATAACCGGAATTCGCACCGCCGATGGCAAGCATCATACGGCAGCCTTAACCATTGTTGCCTGCGGGGGCTGGACACCGACCCTCGTCCCAGAAATGGACGGGCTCTGCGAAACCACCGCGGGGTCTGTAGCGATGATCCAAATCCCGGAGGGTTCTCCACTCCGCCAACGCTTCTCGGCATCTAACTTTCCCGTCTTCCAATGGAACGTGCGCAGCGGCGAAAACGGCAATCTGTATGGCTTCCCACTGGATGATCGCGGAGTGCTGAAGATCGGTTATCGCGGGACGAAATACACGCATCCGCAGGTTCAGTTAGATGGACAGGTGCGCAGCGCCCCGATCACGAAATGGACGGCTCCGTCTGTTTCTGGATTACCAGAAAAGTCCGTCTCGGTTATTCAAGGTTTCCTGGATCGGTATATACCTGAACTCCAGGAGGCGGCAATAGGGATCTCTCAGACACGGTTGTGCTGGTATACGGATTCATATGATAATCACTGGGTGATTGATCGGGTGCCCGGGAAGAAGGGATTGATGGTGGCTACGGGTGGTAGTGGCCATGGGTTCAAATTCCTGCCGGTGTTGGGACAGTTGGTAGTGGATCGTGTGGAGGGAGTGAAGTCGGAATTGTTGGAGTTGGTGAAGTGGAGGAAGTTGGGAGCTGGGGAGAAGGGGTCGAATGAGCTGATGAGAGGGTTCAAGGATGGGAATGCGTTGCAGAAGGTGAAGTTGGTGAGTGAGCCGGGGAAGGGGAGTCGGCTGTAATAGCCTGGAAGCTTTACAATGTTCAAGTTGAAGATAGGCTTATGAGCTTCAGAAGCCCGAAATATGATCTTCTATGATATCACTCTCAGGTATCTGGGATTTGATATCTACGAACCGCCCTTTATTTCACTTTTGTACTTTTCCAGACCCCGCTGTTGTCGTTGACTTTGCTTCTTAAGATTATCCGAGTAGTCAGAGCATCAAACCCAATCACTCCACCTCGTATGCCGATACGCCAGCGGTACTTGCGGCCCTTCGGCCTCGAGCAAATATCCATGCTCGCACCAGCCAAACTGCACCCGTACCTGACGGACATAGAACGCATCGAACGTGTCGTCCAACGCATCGAGCAAGCTATGCACATCGCCGTAAGGATGCAGCGTCCGCCACGGCTGGATGCAGGTATCTCCTTTGCACGATTTGAGTACCATAAGGAGGGCGTCAAGACGGGTGGAGATTTTGACGGCGGAGTAGGATCCTATTTTGGATGCTGCTAGGTTTGGGTAGAGGTTTTTCAGTTGGTAGGGGTCCGTCTGGACATGTGTGTCAGTATAGTACATGGAAATGATGGAATGGTAGAGATGAAATACAGTCAAATCGTAGAGTTCATGCTCGCCACTACACCAGACAGAATAGTAGAGGTTAAAGTCGGGGCTAATTAGTCTCAGAGCCTTGTAGGTGTTATTGATAAAGGTAGCAGGTCCACCGTTCTCTGTCATACTCCATTAGCATATCCCTCACAGGCTGTAAAAGGCAGGACAATACTTACCATCCCGTCCAAACGCACCCTCAAAACCAGCCCACCCCCAATACTCGACATTAACATGTTCATGTCTGCCTCCATCCATATCCGCAGCATGAATCTCCTTTGTTGTCAACGGAATAGCCACCCCATCCAGCTCCCCCTCTGCTTCACCACCCACAATATCCAAGATCGTCGGCGCCAAATCGATATGCGTCGTCACCGCACTCACCTCCACGCCCCTCGGCACTCCCGGTCCTCTAACAAACATCGGAACCCGAATATCCTCATCGAATCCACACTCCTTACCAGGATGTAACCGATGCTGACCGATGTGGTACCCGTTATCCGAGGTATAGAAAATATACGTATTATCGAGGATACCCGCATCATCCAATCGAAGGACTATCTTCTCGACGAGTTCATCCACACCCTGCAACGAACGGAGTCTATCACGATAGAACTCATCATTGTAGGCAACGCTCTCAGCATCTTGTTGCGGGAGGGACCGCACCCAGCTGACTCCACTAGGATGGTCAGGGTTGAAGTTGGGGGTTCGGGGGATCTTCGCATCCTGAAACAGATGTTTATGTTTTTCTAGTGGAATAGGAGGAGAGAAGCGGAATGTCGTGGTGTCATTCTCGTCCGTCATGTTCAGGTTGGAGTGCGGCGCCACTGGGGCGACGGTGAGGAAGAATGGCTCGTCGCCGGCGATAGCATCGTCGAGGAACCCGAGGGCCTTTTTAGTGATTACCTCAACGGTATGTTGGCCCTCGTAGCTAGTTGGAGGGTCCTGGTTCCGTTGGTAGTGAGGACGAAGGTACTGGTATGTGTACGGGTCGAGGAGGAAGTCGGAGGCGTTGAAGCCCGTCACGAAAGGGGCGTTGTAGTTGTCCACGGTGTGGGCGTTGAAGAGTTTCCCTGTGTAGTAGGTGGAGTAGCCGGCTGCTTGGAGCCAGAGGGGGAGCCAGTTCTCGTTGTGGCCTTCGACGACGAATTTGGGGTATCCTCCTGTAGTTTTCTGTTAGTGCTTTGGGTACTGGTAGTTGGGGTAGGGTTAGGGGGTACCGTATGGGGGATAGATTTCGGTCACGTTGGTGTTGTGCGCTTGCTTGCCGGTCCAGAGACTTACTCGTGAAGGACAGCACAGGGCGGTGGTGACGAAGTGGTTGCGATAGAAGGCGCCCTGGCTAGCGAGGTAGTGATTGATGCGTGGAGTATAGTGGAGGGAGTCCATTTGCAGGTCCTGGTCATCGACGAGGATGAAGACGATGTTGGGACGGCTGCTGGAAGAGTGGGTAGCTACATGATGGTCCTGTAGGACATTCTGGCTATCTGGTTTGCCAATTACTGCAAAGGAGTCGGTGGTCGCCTGCGCCAGAGCGGCGAAGGCGAGAAGTGAGAGTCCTTTCATGGTTGTAGTATTATTGTGGTTTATTTACATTGTAGCGGGACAGCGAAGGTCTGCTCTTTATTTGAGTATTCCTTGAAAGACACCACCACCCCACTTGAGATACTATCATTTAACTCATCCATTGGACAATGCGATTCCTGTTGATGCTCGATGCCGATCTGTCGTGCAAGCGAAATGCAAGGGATGGCGTGATTGGCGCTAAATCACCACCATCCGGGACGAGCTATATCATCGGGTGTAGATTGCGCGTACTGTTCTTGGGATGAAGAGTTGCTCGACTTGATTCATGAATTGCTATGTACACATACTTATCAACTAGGCGAGAATATATCCTAGGCACTTGGATATAGCTCCCTCAAGCCACCCCCCTTTGTACATCTACACCACCAACCTAAGCGATCGTGATGTTCTGGCTGAGGGTCTGGAGGTACGGCTCAAACGAAGCCTAGAACACAATAAAATCAGCAGAGATCCATAAGTTGGAATGGCATTCAACTTACCCCAATAAGGGAGGCATGAGCAACACCCAGCACCGCCTTACCCGAAGCAGTCCCCTCGGGAATAGTGACGGTGAAGTTCTGGTATTGGGGCAAGTACCACTCGTGGTACTCGGGGTCAAAGGCGCCATTGTACAGGACGTGGCCCAAGACCTCCGAGGCCGGGTAGCAGGTGGCAGAGGCGCAGGACTGCAGGCCGATGGCGATGGCCATTTCCTCGACGTTGGTGGGGGGAGTCTATCGGAGAATATCTGGTTAGTCTAACTGAGACAGTTTACACCATTCAAGGTCGGGAATAACAGCATCGCAGGACTTACCGGACGCTCAATCTGGACCGTCACCTGCTGGCCTGCCTGGACAGTCTGGCCAGCCTTGGGAGAGGCAATCTGGACATTCTGGGCCAGTGCGGTGGCAGCAAAGGCAGTGATGGCGGCGAAAGTGAATTTCATGATGGCGATGGCGATGGAATTGAAAGAGAGGCGGGAGACGAAGTTGGAATGGCTATGATGGGAAGAGCATGAAGAGGACAGCTCCGACCCGGAGTAACCCGGGGTTTATATGGACACCTACAAGCTGGCGAGGGCATGATGATGGGAGGTGTTGAAGTGAGACATGCGGAGGCCGGATGATAGAAATAGCAGCTCCAGCTGGGGATATGGGGCAGCCGAGGGGGAAGTGATTGGCAGGGTTTCAGCTAGTGAGTGTCGATCGGATGTCAAGTTGATGGATCTCATAGTGGGAGGTGAAACCCATACTTGTTTGTGTAGGTACTTTGTACTCCGGTTGACCCCGGTGATTTTGTTAGTACGGTGGAGAGTTGCAGGGATTTGAAACCTTGAAGCGGTAAGTCTCTCATACAGCACCGCCTTCTTAATTCGCTATGGTGAAGCCTTGAATAGCAACGCTGAATGGCTATATAAAGTATTAATAATCATATTAATAATCATATGAACGGCAGAAATCAAAGGATTCAGATCCCTGCGCCTCTCCACCATACTAACAAAATTACCGGGGTCAACCGGAGTAGTTACGGGTGTGATGTCCCTATGGGGCTATATAACTCAGGGTAGGTATAGAAGTGGTAAGAATAGATCCGAAGACCCGTAGCTACTTGGGATATGTTGGTGCCTGTGGAAGGTGGAGAGGAAAAGGAGAGGCAGAAGAAGCAAAGGACAGGAGAGACTTCATTTAGTTATTTGTTATTAATTTAATCAGTCATGCATTATGCATAATTAGTTAATACTTACTGTACAATGACTCAGGTGGTGCATGCACAAGTCACATGATGGATGTTGATGACTGATTTCTCGGCAACTGGTCGGCAGATAAACATTAATCAGAATGATGGTATGATCTAACTAGTGAGAAAAGCCATCATCCACGATAGGGATAGTGGAAGCTTAACTGGACGCCTTAGTTATATATCGCAGGGGAGTCATTATCCACTGAGTGGATAGAAAGGTGGCTGATTATTGCCACTGGCAGGAAAACTACTACCACTTAAGTACCAATATATATTCAAACCATGATGACTTAGGGTACACACTGATGATCATGGTTGGGGAACAACGAACACCACCAGACCATCATGCAGTGAGACTGAGATAGCAGTGCTGCATTATCCAGTAGTAAAAATGCAAGTATCACCATCATCATGTCGATCTATCACACAGTAGTAAAGTAGCAAGTAGTATTCTCGGTGGTATCAGCCCATCTCACCTCAGCGGCGATCACACATCCACTACATCATGACATAGGTTGGAGTGGACACTGGAGATACATACCGCTCGGGACCCCCACTGGATCCATCCCATCGCAACATCAGCGGAAATAATGATCCGATGGCGTGCTTACAAGTATGCTTCCACTTCTGTTCGATCGGTCCTTCCGGATAGGGATCGTGGTTGTGACGTTGCAATGTCGCCTGCGGTGGGCATGGACCTCCGCCCTCCCCGCGTCATCCGGACATTCGCCCAAACCTTGAACCTGGACTCGATCCAGTGGGCAATCCAACGCCACCACAAGGCTTATCTCCCTAATACGAGGCTTAATCAAGCTGTATACAAATAGAAGAAAGTAAGATGATGTTAATGTAGAACTCTATTGCGAACAGGGTCTTGATCTATCGCTGGGAAAGAAAATTGAATAAGATCAAAAAGAACATGGGGAGGTATAGTGCTGGTGCAGAGAATATTGAGAGTGTTCAGGGCAAATGATGAGGAGCAAAGATGACAGAAAAAAGACCCGCTCGTGTATCAACAGGGCGCTCGTAAATGTATTCACACACAGAAAATCATAACCATCGAGTCATATGTACATCAAATGCAAATGCAGTGGAGAGGGTATTTGCATGGGAGGAGGGTTGGCCCCGGTCGGAGTCGCCTCTCCCCCCAATCGAATTAATCACAAAGAAATGCTTTACTCCGGAGCGGCGCAGGTGAACACACCACGGACGGATCCGCTGCGGTAGTTGAGAATCTAAGCACAGATAATATTAGCATCAGATACACAAATGTAAGAATTGGAGAGGAAGAGGGCTCTTACAATGTCGTCGACACTGGCATAGGTACCAGCCCCCAGCGTCACCAGACCGATAATCAAACAGCACAGGTTCAGTGCTCCCAGCATCAGGTTCTTGGGCGTGTTCCACTTGCCCTCGCGCACCAGCAAGAACCACATCAGCGCGGGGAAGTAGAAGGTGAAGCCCGAAATGAAGAGCGAGGAGGAGATGGACAGCAGATCCGAGAAGAAGGGAATAACTTCGGCGATCACAAACGCCACCCAGGTGATGACGGTGATCAGCGCCAGCCAGGTGATCCAGCCCATCTTGGTGTTGATGAAGCGGATGGTCGAGTGCTTGAAGATGCGCCCGTGGATCATGCGACCCAGCACCACCGTGTTGATGGAGCCACTGATGAAGATAACAGGCAGCGCAATGCCAAAGGCCACACGCTTGACCATGCTGCCCGCGGACAACAGAGCGGGGCTCTGCACATCCTGACCAACAAAGGCGTAGATCAGCGCACCCGTCAGCGTGTAGATAACAATTTCAATGAGACCCAGGGCCCAGATGGACTTGACGTAATCCTTAGGGGTGTGCATCTCATCCATGAAGGAGAACTGGCACATGGCGAAACTGTAGGCAAAGACGATGTTGGTAACGGCAATGAAGGCGTCGGTGAAGGTGATGCCTTCCTTGGGCCAAGCGGACCAGTTGACCCCGGAAAGACCAGCCGTGGAGTCGGAGGCCGTGATGCCCGTGGCGATCATGGTAATCAGGATGGCAGCAATGATGGAGACAAAGTCGACGTAGCCCAGAATGGCCATCTCAGCGAAACTGGGGGGCACGGCGAAGAGCAGCAGGATGATGGCGGAGACAACAGCGAACACGATGGAGCAGACGCCGCTTTCGGTAATGTTAATGAAGGCGATGGTACCCGTCAGACAGTGCGAGCCCGTCAGGAAGAGCAATTGCAGACCCAGCATCACGTAGACAATCTCGTAACCCACCCGGCCGAACATCAGACGTCCCGCCTCGGGGTAGTGGGCAACGTCGGGGAACTTCAGCTTAACCTGACCGACGACGTAACTGGTGTAGATGGCGACAAAACCCAGTCCCACGGTCAAGATGACACCGGCCACCATACCGAGGGTAGCGAAACTGCCGGGAATGGACAAACTTCCCAGCGCAATGGCCTCGACGATCAGCACGACCGTCAGGCGCTTCCATCCCAGACGGTTATATTTTTCGATACCGGCCTCGTAGATGTTCCGCTCGCCCTCGCTCATCTTCTCCACCAGGTCGCCGTCAAACTGGGCGGCACCACCATACTTCTCACCCCCCATGACATTCTGGGACTTGTTGTCCGTACCGGAGATCTCGTCACCGTAACCCATGATGATCACGTTGTTATTGTTATATATGTATAAGATAGAGTGTAGTGGAAGGTAGTGTGAGAGGGCAGAGGTGAGCTAGTGGTAGTGGCGGTTGGGTGGAAGAGGGTAGAGTGAGTAAACACACAGTGCCCTGTCACACACCGATTGCCTTGGGGTGAGGGTTTCGGGGAGAGGGAGAGGAGGAGGAAGAAGAGAGAGTGTGTGTGAGTCTGGAGAAGAGAGAGGAACAAGAGGGAAGAGGGAGGGTTTTGAATGGGAGCGGGACGGAAATTCACCGCAGGCACAGAACCGTCCGCCCAGACTGAGCACCAAGAATGAGAGCGCGAGTAGGTAGAGAGAGGGTCGGATGAATCCGGGCACCGCCGCAGAGGAGCTGATAAACGAAGAGGAACAGACCAACGAGAATGGAGCAAAAAAGAACATTTCAACCAGTTTCGTAGTTTTGTGGTGGCCATCAGACGATGGAGAAACCAGAAAGTGACCACCAAAAAAAGTGGAAACGATTTGGTAATGAGATAGAGTGGCGGTTGCTAAGGTTTGCCAGTTTATCTGCTCTCCACGTGGGGACCAAGCTCCCGCCACTTCTACAATTGCACCAATGAGGTACCAGATATTAGTGCCTAGCCCGTCTAGGCATCCGGAAATGGACTAGCGCCCACCAGGGGTTAAGCCCCATGGTGACGTTGGAACTGCAGACCTTACCCGTTTGGGATTAGAGTTGACCCCGTCCCTAGTTCCCATTGCGGACAAGTAACCGGTGGTCACTCTGGTCCAAACCCAACCGGATTGAAAAGGCTAAAAAGGCTATTCGCGTTAGTCTGCATTTTCCCCCAGACTCAACTCGAGGACCGATGATTAGCCCGTGGCAGCTGGCCGCGCTTGCAGTAGTAGTAACTAAGTAGTCTAGTGCTCCTCCTCCTCCGCCCTCCCTCCCTCTCCGTCGTTCCCGATCGACGCCGTCCTCTTACTACGTTCGGGGTGTCCGGCGCGAAGTTTATTTGCACCCGGGTCAGCCGTGAGGCTGAACGGGCTGAACGCTGTATCTTATGTATGGGGATGTAAGGAGGTATCTATACTACTTGGCGGGATGCACTGTCCCGAGGATGGAGAACACAAGGGACGGCAGCACGAAAGAGGATTGGCAGGCACACACACCCATGGGCACAACTCACCGGGCGGAGGAAGATGAGAGAGAAAGAGAGAGGGTCGGGTTCTGAGTCGGGAACAGGCAACGGTGGAAGCGACGCTGACCTGTAACATCAGAAACAACCTAAGAAACACCGGCGTAATTTTTTTCCTGACGAGGTGGAGATGATTAATCTTCTAGAAGCCTGACGAATGCGGCAAATGAAGCCACCACTTGGCAGGCCTTATCAGGGTGATGACCAATTGCTATCGCTCACACACTGAATCCGGGCGGACGTGTGAGCACCGAAACAGCAGTAATTACAGCGAGTTGTTGGAGACATACTACCTAAACTAGTCTAGTTCCACCAGGTCCTTGGCTGATCCCGGCGCTTATCTTATCCCGCTCGTCTCACACCTCCCCTCCCTCCCTCCCTCCTTCTCTCTTTCTTTAATTATTAGCTCTCGGTTTTACTCATGGTGACCTGATGGGTGACCCGGGCCGAGAGATACTAGTCTACAGTACTAGTATTGTGACTCTCGGGTTTGACCAACATGCCGACCTATCTATCTATCTGCCTATCTCATAATTAAACAGCGTACGAAGGAGTAGTAAGTAGTTAGTCTATCTGCTGATCTTTGTCTCAACCATCCGCGTCACCCGCGACCATCATTCATCTCCGACCGGGATGTTCACCCTTCTGGGCAGTCAGGCAGGAAGTCAAAAGTGAGGCAGTTTATTCCGCGTTGGAGGTGGTAGTGGTGTTTGTTTGTTGATTGATTGTTGGAGAACCAAACCATCCTCAGGCAGGCAACCTTCCTCCGAAACAAACAACACAAACTAACGTACTTACTCCAATTGCTGCTGGCTGAACTGCGCTAACCTCCTTTGGGACCAGCTCGGATCCGACGTGTGAACTTTGTCCCGCCCACCCGAAGTTATCAAACTTTCCCTTTTTGGTCTCCTCTTCCCCCTCCTCCTCCCCAAGACTCCGCAATTTGCGTACAATCTATCGCGACCACCTGCTTAATTGTCCTGTCTCTGCTCTCCCTCCCCCTCTGCCAGAGATACATGCCGTCGTGGAATCCATCACTATCCCCGTCTCTCTCTTCTCAGCATGAACTTCTTCTCGATGTCCGCATTTGCCCTGCGACCGCCCCGCCAAGTCGCGTCGTTTCCCCTCGAGCCTCAGGTTCCCCAGGTTCAGAGGGCGCCCTCTTCTGGCAAAGCTTAGCTCAGATCGGTCATTGCGTTGGGATGGCATCACTTCATTCTTCCGGGAAAACGTGCACCTCTACGCTATTGTCCGCGATTGTCGGTCGGAGCAGAAGAGGGACCATGCTGCTGCCTTTTCATCCCCGCTATTACCTAACAGTTATCCTTCTCTATGGACAGGCCCAGCTCACCTCCAATGCGGGGGCGCCATTTATTCATCCCCCGGATTCTCCTCGTGTGGAGATCTTTACGCCGGCAGTTCGTATCACGATCCTCTCTGGCCTTGGAACTCTCCCTATTGAGTCAATACGCCATACTCTGACGTCGGACGGATATCACGGAGGGCAGGGATGGGCACCGGCCTGAATACTGTTGGGAAGTGTGTGGAGCCGGTATTCGCTCTTCATTACATAAAAGAAATGCGCCTAGTCTGATGCAGGAGCTCCCGCTGCCTGCCCGGTGGTGGAAGAGTGTACCTCCGTGACGGCAGATGCGCTATTCATACCTCAGTCCATATGGAATTGTCGCTCTTCACGCACCATTACTCGTCTCTGCGTTTGGTTACATTGGCCTCGAACAAGCTTTGGCGGTGAAGGTTCCAGCCAACTTGTGGTAGTGACCCCAATTCTATGGCCCTGAGTTCGCTGCAATAGGTGAGTCCCTCCCGTCCCGGCGATCGCCTGATGGACGAGCATAGACCGGTTCTAGACTGTTGTCCAGTCTCTTCTGCCTTTTGCCATTGATCCCATGTCAGACGGGAAATTCACCGCGGACAGAATGCAGCATCTCCTCTGTCGCCATTATGCGGATCGTTTTCATCATTCTACCCTGGATCACCCGCACAGAACAAATGCCTCATCGGTAGGACCTCTCCACTCAGTGTTGTATCAATGTCCTCAAATCCATGGGACATCCGAGCCCGGAGATAAAACTCCGAGGGCGATCGTAATTTCCGATGCCTGCTACTTTGTACAACTTTGGCGGTGATTTCATCATCTGCAGGTAGCCCAATTGTCGAGGCGGCTAAGATCATGTTGACCCGGAAGGCAACCCGTTCCATAGGATGCTCTCACGGATCGTCAAACCTGCATCCTCGCAGGGTTGACGTATAGTCGGTTTAATCCTAGCCATTATCACACCCTACGGCTTCCATTCGGCAATTAGGAATGCCGCTCTGAAGCCTTTCGGTGGTCCGACGGAGCATAATGGAAGAAGAGTAGAGTGGACTGCAATTCAATAAGGAAGTTCTTTTTGTCGGACTTATCTGGTCGACTATTGAACATCAATACGAATATCCTTCCAGTTCAGACAGTCAGACCTCGTTGAATCGGCGTTCAGTCGAGACATTTACAATGTGCCAAAACAAGTATCAGACCTAGTAGAGGCTTTTCCCAGCTGCAAACGAGATCTCAGGATTCTCCATGAAGACAATCCTGAGTCGTATGCTGTGCAATTAGCTATCTTCATATTTTGCCACAAAGGATGAACCATCCGGGCTACATGGTAATTATGTGGGAGCAACCAGGTTCAGGCACGCTACACTTACCACAGTGGTGAAAGTCGGGCATTACTTAGATCTTCTTTCCTGTGAAGCACAATTATGGCTCGACTACGGCTCGACTATGGCGCGCGACGCATGCAGTAACTGTTGGATCGGAATGCAAGGGATGACACATTCAGATCGCGCCGCATGCAAATCCTACTCCACTACTTGACTACTTGCCCTGGATCGAAGTAATCTCATTGGCGACATCAGCCACATCCGCGGAGGCTCCGGGTGATGTCGAAAAAATAGTAAAAGGTACACACCTAGGTTCAGGTACATGGCTTCAGGCTTGCCATGGACTTTTTCAGTGGATTCGCGGATGGACCTGCCGGACAAGATTTCCTTCCTCTTTCCTTTAAGATACCCCAAACTCATCTCAACTCAGTCAAGTAAATCACAGTTTTGCAGAAGAGAAAAAGGAAAAGAAAATAGTAGGGAGTCAAGAAGACATGCCCGTTGGGATATTTCACACGCTGGTACCTCCGAACGCTAGTGGTAACACAGAACTCCATACCCGGGAGATCCCCCCGGATGTCGTCACCATCCTCCCAGAAACCTTCCCCCGAAAGGGAACTGATCTAATAGTACTGTTTCGCAGTATCTGGGCCATCATTCTCCGCAAATAATTCAAGTCGGGCCGGCTATGCTTCCAGGCGAGAGGCATGACTGCGGCTTGCTCTGAGTTGGAGGAGCTGGTGTATCAAGGGATGTCTGCAACAGCATCGCTCATTCACCTACTCTCACCTGATACGGCTCGATACTACAGACATTGTTGTCTGCGGGTGAGCCATTGCAGCAAAGAATGATCGAAATGTGGGCCACTCGAGTCAATCTTATAAGCGCGTACAGCCCATCGGAGTGCAGTAAGGTGTGTTCAGTCAACTCAAGCATGAGGCCTGGAACCAATCCTAACAATGTCAGATACCCGTTAGTGACACTTGTCGGATAGTAGAGCCGAACAATATAAGCACTCATTTGCCACTTGATGCTCAAGGAGAACTCCTGGTTGAAGGGCCAATCGTTGGTTTCAGATATGCAACAATCCTCGGCGCCCAAGAGATACATTTCCAGTATCACTGCCTCGCTGGCTCCGCTTCATATGCGGAGTTTTGGTCCACACGAGTATCTACCGCACAGGAGACATCATACGATATAATTTCTACGAATCTCTGCATTACGTGGTCCGTAAGTTTTCACGGATCATGTTACAAGGGCAGCGGATCGAGCACGCCGAGGTGGAATATCACGTTCGGCTATGATCTTCAAGCGCCGTCCAGGTAGCTGTTGATATGGCCAAGTTTGACGATGTTGATACCAGCACCCTCGTTGCCAATATTGGCACCATTGTCGCCCTGGATATGGGCCAGGTACAGCGCATGCAGTCAAGGCAGCCACCCACCAGCTTCGGCAAACATTCGAGTATACGAAAGCATCAGTAGGCGATGCGCAGACCAACCATCCTCTCCCGCCGTCTGTGCCTGGGATGGCGAATTTACTTACGAGCAACTTGATCAGCTCTCGTTAGGGTTCGCGCAAAAGATCCCTGCCCATGAAGTTTAGCTGGAGGACTTAATTTTGGTATGCCTGGAAAGGAGCTGCTGAATTCCGGTGGCTATCCTGGCAATCTCGAAAGCTGTGGCACGTTTAGTCCTTCTGGATGGCACCCATCCAGCTACTTGCAATTTATTGCAAAGCAATCTGCTACATCAATGAAAATTGCAAATGAAAGTACCCACTTCAAAGCAAGCAGCCTGTGCTCGACAGTATTGCAAATCGAAGATGACCACCTGTGGACTCGAAATGTTAACTCCTCGCTGGCTGAGACGGTTCATGTTGGTGGACAGCGCCGCGTACATTATTTTCACATTTTGCTCGATTGGAATACCCAATGGGGCTGTCGTTGAGCATGCTTCCCTTTCCGTTTCGTGAGACCCTCACTACTCGACTCCAGTCACGGCCGATATCGCCTGTTCTACATTTTGCCTCCCACGCCTTGGATGCGATAATAATCGATGTTATAGCCGCATTTCTGTCAGGTAATTATCTCTGCGTTTCCTTAGAGAACTGATATATGAGGCATCTGGCCTTGACTGCGAAGCTTGTGCGAGCCAATTGGATACTATTGACCCCGACTGTTGCCCGTCAGCACTCCTAGCGAGTTGTTGTACTACGAGACGTTAGTCCTTGGCGGGGAACCGTCGCCACAAGGGACACTGAAGTCTGGCATAATAAGGTTTGTCCCCTGAGCGCACATGGCCCAGCAGAGTGCACTCCAGTCATGAGTGTGATCAGGCCGTTAGACCCGACCTGGGATGCGCGGGAAATTGGCGTCCCAAACGTCAGTGCTGGGTGGCTTGTACGTCCGGATGACCAGGTGAAGTTGCACGGTCAGCGGTTGGTGCTGGGTTAATTTGGACATCATTTCAGCAATCTTTCGCCGGATCTAGCGCGGTCAGTGATCTCATACAGCCAGAAGAGAAGCTACAAATAGGTCCAATTTTAGCAGCATGTATCTTCTATCCCGGCCACGCTGATGAATCACCGCCCGATTCATGCATCTGGGAGCTTCCTTCGGATACTTTCCGAAGCAATGTTCATGAGGCTAGAACAGCTTAATATCAGAATCTTCCTTTATATATGGTGTCTTATATATTTCAGAGGCCCCCCGATTATCCCATGCTCGGTATGACGGCATCAGCATGCCTCGCCTGTTCGAGCATATCAGGGTACGGTTTAGAGAGCCGCGACGGTAGACTTTGCGGAATACTTGCACAGCCTCATCTACCATACCCTTCCGCTGGACTCTTCATATTCACCGTAGTCAAGACAGCTTGGGCCCTTTTCCTGGCGCACATGGCCGGTACTGATGACTTCGTCTTCGTGGAGCTTCCAGAAGCCGAAGCAGTTGTGGGAGCCTGTGTTAATTACGTGCCAGTCCGAGTGACTCTTCAAGCTGCCTGTACCGTGTCAAACCTCCTGCACGCATTTCACGAGCAACAGACCCGGAGCATGGCCTTCGAGACTATTGAACACGACGATCTGTTGGCGCAGTGTACTTCCTAGTCGGCAGACACAGTACCGGGTACCGGGATTTCACTACGTAAACATCCCTGATGTGTTTGCTAATAGCGGCCTGCCAGGGGCCCAGTCGAACCATAAAACATATATTCCGCTTGCCTTATTATCATCCCCGTGAGGCAGGTAGTCCCTTCTCAAAGGTGACTCTTGAGCTTAAGTTTGATGTTTCGGATCAGCTGTGGGATCAGAATCAGGCTGATCAGACTTTGCATCTGTTTAGTCAGACTGCAGTGCGCCTGCTGGAGAGCCCTCCGGTGCTGCCCTTGACTTTTTGAAGCAAAAGTTGCTTCGTTGTTCGAATCACCCGCCTCCTACCACGGTGTATGATAGTCAATTGGCCTGAGTAGATGTTCAACAGAGAATGTAATGTTTATTGTTTACGGCCAAATGTTCTCAATCAATTGACGTTGTAGAACAAGCAAATATCTGTTATTGCTACTGTAGATGCTATACTTGCTACTGCTACCAGACTGGCTACTGCTCTTAGCAATCATTATAACTACTAGCTGTCTAGTGGACAGCTCCAACCCCTTCAACGTATCTCTATTCTCCTATGAATCTCATGAACCCCAACATCGTCCTGGAACACCAAGTCATGATGTTCTTCCACCTAGAGATACCTCAAGGAAGAACTTTCACTAAGATATTAGTTATCCATGCGAGTTCGTTGGATCTCATTGTCACTTCCATCGGATTTTCGGAAGACGGGGATATATACGTGATTTTATCAGTTTACTGAATTCGTACTCAGATCCTGCAGGAGGGCCTGATTCGCAGACGGTCTGGCATTCGATCATCTCGGGTGTGCGTCATACCTTAGTCATTGAACAGAACAAACTTTACAGATTAACAGGCGTACGTTGTCCGGCAATGGAAGGTGTCGAGAAAGGCGGTCTGTGTGCTACTAACTTAACCATGTCTGTAAATAGATAGGTAGGTTGATTCGCATGCAGAACAGCCTTGCTGCTTCCACCCAATAGTCCGGGTCTGGTGGCGTTCCATAACTTACTTGTATAACATGGCACGTCCGCCACACGAAAGTCAATCCCACCGGGGTCAGCGAAATGCAAGAACGAGTTTTTAGTTTTGGAAAAAGAAAAAGCATCATCCTTGGCAAGGTTGTTCATCATCAAGGTATGACCAGACATTGTGGCGAAGCATATACTTTGAATTCTGATTGCTTACCGGGACAATTGCTCGCTCCGAATTGTTTTGTTGACTCAGACTGTTATTCACAGAAGCAGCTCTCATCCACTCAGCTGGTTTCAACCTTGTGCAACGTGCTACTAGGCTGTATCGCTGGCTATAATTGGAAACGGGGGATTTTTCATGGTACTTGTGGGTCATTGATTGGCCCACCTGGGGTCAGGATCAGTCGATCGGTCGCTGCGGGCCGGCTATCTCCGGGTCGATCGGTAGTCGATGGGTGTCATCTGCAATGATCAAAGGATCGCCCAGTACAACGTATGTATGGGGGATGGCATCTGTAGCGAGCGAGAGGCCTCCTCGAGACGGAGTCAAGAGATGGCTCCGCCAGCCGGGACGGGCGGTCCCATCCACGATCCACCCGTGCCAGGAAAAGTAACACTTTCACCGGTAGAGAGGCGCTGATGTCTTCACGCGACTATGACAACTCATCTGTATGGATAGTAAGGGCGCTACCCTTGCGGCCGCTTTGAACCAATAAAATGCACCATCCCAGCTTCTGAACTGTTGGAACAATTGGAGATGACAGCATATCTCCCACAAGAATGCTGGGGAGAGAAGGATCCGGAGTTGGGTGGCCACGGTTTTAGCGGGCGGGATCGACCGGCGAAGTGGCTCTGATGGATCAACAGTTCACAAGTCATTCAGGCCCATTGCCGGCAGGGCATTGTCCCACGTGCAAGGCTTGACTAGCATCCAATCCAATCATAATGTGCTAGTGGCATCGTGGCGAACCCCATTCGTAGCAGCGGGAGATGGTGATGTTTCTCGGGGGAAACCTTGTTGGCAAGGGAACTCGGAGATGATTCGTCTGGTGGGGGCTGTTTTGGCTGGTCTTGGATATCCACCGATATATAAGGGGCAGGACATCCGGACAGTGGGCGACTGTAATTTCTACCCTTTGCATAGTTGATAGCGATCAAGTTGTAAAATGTACAGCACGTTGTCCTTGTCTCTCGGCCTCCTGGCCACGGCAACGCTCGCTCTTGCCGAGCCGACCGTCTACCTAATTCGCCACGGCGAGAAGCCCAGCAACGGGAGCACCGGCCTCAATGCTGTGGGTTTTGAGCGGGCCGACTGCTTGAAGACTGTGTTCGGCCCGGATTCCAGCTATGACATTGGATACATCATTGCAGAACAACCCAAGTCAGGTACATCAATTTTGTGGTTGATTGTCGGATGTGGAATAGCCATCAGTACTTAACAGACTCACAGATGGAAAACGCGACCGCGCATACGAAACGGTTCTCCCTTTAGCTGAGGAACTGGGCCTCACTGTCGATACTTCCTGCTCAAAGAAGGACACCAAGTGTGTCAAGGACTTGGTGAAGGACTACACCGGCAGCGACAACATCTTGATCTGCTGGGAGCACAAGGAGTTGACCAAGATCGCTGAGAAGCTGGGTGACGACGATGCACCTACCTACCCAGATGACCGGTTAGTTTCTACCGAAGAACGTTGCAAAGGCGGTTTGTAGTCGACGTGTCTAACCAGTCATGCATCCCAGGTTCGATCTCATCTGGACTGACCCTTATCCTTATACCAACATCACGGACATCACGAGCGAGAACTGCCCGGGTCTGGATAGCTGAAGTAGTAGCCGAAAAATCAAACCAGGCTCTAGTTAGGGGACACTTGGCCTCGTGTCACGGTAACCGACGGCCGAATGCCCCTTTTGAGAAACGACGTAATGCAAAGTCATTCTGGATCTGTTCATGCGAGTGTGGCCTTAGAAGAATAGCTTTTGGGAATCTTGTGTTGGGTACCTGAATTCTAGCAGCTCGTCATTCATGACACGATATGACAAAGAAGTCCTGCACGGTCTGGACGCATCCTCATCAGCCATCAACAAGATTTTGTGACCGACTTTTGCCCGGTCGCAATTCACTCCCATCCCTTGGAAGTGCATGTAGGCCACTCGAGAAAGGCGAACTTCCGTGACTTCTCTTCTAGCAGGCCCACAATCTCGCCACGAACCTGTGGGCGAGCCTTGGTTCGTGTGTCTGATAAGCCTATAGAACGCCATGACGCCATGCCATGCGTGATATTGTTCCAAACGTAACCTGCCATATATAGATCCTGGCATCAGCGATCAGACCTCCACTAGATGTGAAGGAGGTAGGATACGAGCAAATGGGATGGAGCGGGAGGAATGCTTTGCCGTGGTGGCTGACTCCTGTTGACCTTCCCCACGCACCACAAACCCCTGCCAAGTTGAACAAAGACAGACTGGCCTGCCAATAGGCTGCCAGATAAGGCCAATTCAGTAACTTCCATATGGCGCTAAGCTTCCAGGTAACCTGTGGCCGCGGTCTTAGCTGGTGCTTGGGCGAACGGGAGGTGAACCCAAGCCCACCAACTCCTCAGCCAAGATGTTCTGATGAAGCTAGTATTGTGAGACTAACTTTGGCCGGGAAATCAACGTCCGATCCGCTGTTATGGCAGGTGAGCTTTGCTCTAAACTTCCTTGGACTTCAGGCTGCCTCTGGAACTGTGGTGGTTAACCCCGTAGTTGACTAGGGGCTGAGCACCTCAGCGAACAAAGTGAGTTTTCAACATCAAACTCATCCACCAAAAGCACCCCATCACGTCTAAAGTGAACAGTTGAATCTCTCAACACTCCGATCGGGAGATGCAAGTCATTGACATCCTGCACGTCGATAATTATGGGGTAGCCCTCCAGCCAACGGTCGGATATGATAAGGTCACCCGACAGGAACAAAAGGGGGAATGATCAAGATATGCGTCGAGCAGGGGAAGTGTCCAAGCAAATGGCATCACTACAGATTATCTTGACCCCATCCGCAGGCAGTGATATTAATATCGATACCTTGATCTGGTTGGTGGGCTCCGATGGCGCAAAGGACGGCCAAATCGTTATCATCGGACATTGATTTGAATCAGCGATGGTGAGTGGGACAGGCTAGGGCTGATAGACATCCCCTAAATCACGGATCCCTGCTAGTGGGAAACATGTCCTAAATGACCCAACTGATAGCAAAGACTCGCGCTACATTGCGCGATTTGCCTGTCTAGGCATTCGCCCCTGCAATGGCATCTTTGGGGGTATTTAGCCCATTGTTTGACCACCGCCGGAGATCCGTCCGACCTTGCTAGCAGCCATGCTATAAAGATCGGAAGCTGTGCAGTCAGTTTAACCGGCTAGGGGGTCGTCAGAGCTCAACAATTCTCAGTAAAGCTCCCCGGCGTCTCAACGCCCAATCAACGAAATATGGGTAAGTGTAGCCAGGTGTATGGCGCTGTACCCGGAACTGACAGCAGTGGGCGATTCTAGCTACCTCAACCGGCGAAACCCACGTCGCCGATGCCATGATTACCAGTGAAGCCACCAATGTATCCGTCCAAGTACAGAACAAGTCCGATCCTGAGAAGAATGTCTATGAGGTAGATGCTCAAGCGCTGGAGAACGAGGAGTACCCGCCGCCCACGGAGGAAGAGGTCAACAGCCTTCGCAAGGTCCCGGCCTATCTCCCCGTCATCGCATACTCCCTTTGCCTGGTAGAATTTGCCGAACGAGCATCTTACTACGGCGCTCAGACGGTCTTCTCCAACTTCATTGAGTTCCCTCTTCCTAAAGGTGCTCTTCAGACTCGGTAACCCCTGATTCTCATAATCGCTGACCGGCTTCTTGTAGGAGGAAACGGTGCGGGTGCACCTCCGCGAGGGACGCAAGAGACGGCTGGTGCTTTGGGAATGGGACTCCAGGCTAGTGACGGATTGGTCTTGCTATTCCAGTTCCTTGCCTATGTCATTCCGATCTTCGGTGGATGGTAAGCCAATCCCCAAACTGTATACACGTGCGTGACTCGCTCACAATGACAGGTGGGCCGACGTATACGTCGGTCGGTACTGGGCCATTTGTGTCGGTGTTGCCATCTGTGGTATTGCCCACATCATTCAGATCATCGGCGCAATTCCTTCAGTATTGCAAGCTGGCACGGCGCATGCAGCGCCCCCGTTCATCATCGGGCTTCTGATGTTGGCCCTTGGAGCCGGTATCTTTAAACCCAATATCGCACCCACAGTCCTGGACCAATACCGCCATCAAAAGCAATACACAAAGGTTTTGAAGACTGGGGAGAAGGTCATTGTGGATCCCGAGATGACGGCTACTCGAACGATGCTTATCTTCTACGGGGTAATCAACGTCGGAGCATTTTACATGCTGGCCACCACATATGCGGAGAAATATGTGGGTTACTGGCTGGCCTTCTTGCTGGCCGGGATCATCTATTTTATCTTGCCGGTGGTGCTGGCGGCCGCCTATAAGAAGACATACCGGACGCCGCCCAGTGGGAACTCGGATCTCGCCAAGGCAATCAAAATCACCGTAACTGCTTTGCGCCAAAACAAGTGGCAGGTCTGGCGCAAGAACTTCTTCGATGCGGCGAAACCGAGTGTCCTGGCAGCCAAGGGGATCCAGGTTGACTGGACCGACAAGCTGGTAGATGATGTGCGCCGAACTCTCGTGGCAACGGAGATCTTCTTCTATTTCCCCATCTATAACCTCAATGACGGCGGTATCGGGTCTGTCTCGACAAACCAGGGTGCGTCTATGACGACGAACGGTGCCCCCAACGACCTATTGAGCAACTTCAATGCCTTGACCATCATTGTCGCCGTGCCGATTGTCGATTACTTTATCTATCCACTGCTTTATCGGTACAATATTCCGTTTAAGCGAATCACTCGGATCACATTCGGCTTCATCCTGGCCGCACTCTCCGGTCTGTGCGGTGCCCTTGTCCAGTGGCGTGTATACAAAACCTCGCCCTGCGGCTACTATGCCTCTTCCTGTTCCGAAGTCAGCCCCATCAGCATCTGGTGGCAGCTGCCGAACACCATCTTGGGAGCCCTCTCGGAAATCTTCTGCAACGTGACGGCTTATGAACTGGCATATGCCCGGTCGCCTGCGAGTATGAGGGGTCTAGTCATGGCAATCTTCCTCTTCATGACTGCTTTGTCCAGTGCCCTGGGAGAAATCCTTCTGCCAGTCACTGAGGATCCCGACTTGATCTGGATTTGGGGTGCCCCTGCTGTTGCCCTCGCTCTGCAGACCATATTCTTCTGGTACCGATTCAGGTACCTGAACAACGATGAATTCATGACCGATGAAGCCAACTATGCAAACAGTGCAGAGGAGACCCCTATTCAGACCACTGAAGTGGAAAAGACGGTGGAGAACTAGATGTGCAGGGTCGGACCGAATCATTTACGGTCCCAATAACGGTAGCCATATTTTGAGTAGGCTATTTTATCAATACATGTATCACATTCATCTTGATGCAGGTTTCAGGCAAGCCGAGTCTATAAGTTTGATTTCGGTATTGTACCTATGGTCCCATCTGGGAGGATGTAAGGTGGAGGTATGATCTAAGTTGAGAGACGCTGCATAATTGCAAGTATGGATGCCGTGTCAGTCTTGGTAGCATATCGAGGGTATGAAAAGCTACGGTCGTGAATTCATGTCGAATATGAACTCAGATCAACGATCCGAAAGTCCGGCTTAGTAGGAACTTTGAGCGAATACTCTCCTGGCCGACGGGAGTAACCATTAAATGGTTCACTGCGCTATGCACTAGATCTCATAAGCGAACGGGATGCTCTGCATCGCACCTTTTCTCTGCACACACCCTGCGGCGGCCACGTTCGCCTTCCGAACGGCCGCTTCGATCTGGGCATCGAAGTCCGCCAGTGGAGCACCGGTGGCAACAAACTTGGCAAAGGCAGTAGCGAAGTAACCGACAAACGTGTCTCCGGCGGCAGTGGTGTCTACAACCTTCTCCACCGCGGCGCTGGGGGCAAAGCCCTGCTTGCCAGTGGCCGTTGAGTAATAGGCACCCTTGGCTCCGAGAGTAATTAGAACAATCTGGACCTGGGCATGTTTGTGGAATAGAGGTGCAAGTTCCTCGGGCTTCAAGTCTTGCTCCTGCTGGGCAGGGGTGAGATGCTCCTTGACCGCCTGGGTCATGAGGACAGCTTCAGTCTCATTCATGGCCAGCACACTCGTGCCGGCAAGAGCGGCCAGGGGAATCCCTTCTGTGAAGACTGGTGCAGGGTTGAAGACGAGGTGAGAAGCGTAGGAAGCGCTGTTAAAGTGCTTCATCAACTCCAAGGTAGTCGACCTCGGGATCTCGCCCTGCATCACGACAACGCCTTGTTCTAGATGGATATTCCGAGTGGTAGCGAGGACTGCATCTGCACTATCCATTCCCGAATAGTTAGCACCGGGGACGAACAAAATCCGATTCTCTCCTCCAGCTCCTTCATCCACAATGATTGTAGCAGAACCCGTTTGGCTGTCCGTCTTTTCCTGGATTCCCGTTGTGCTGACTCCGGAACCCTCCAATGTTGGGCGAAGGAGGGCCGAGTAGTAGGGATCACCTGCTCCGACCGCGCCAATCATATACACCGACGCATCTTGGTTATCTTTGGAAGCGAAAGAGGCGCGACCGCACGCGACCGCCTGGTTGGCACCTTTCCCTCCGGCGCTGATAGCGAGGGAGTTGGCTGTGAGGGTCTCGCCGGCATCGGGACAACGTGGAGTGTAGGTGACAAAGTCGATATTCAGGGAGCCAATCACGCAGATCTGGGGAGGTGCCATGGTGTTCGTTCCCGGGAGTTGCAAGAAGACGAGTCAGATATCCTAGTGACGGGTATGGTTGGAATCACCCATGCGGGGAAGAAGCACAGATGGGGACTCAAGGACTCACTAGTAACGCTGAATTAATGATGACAAGTCAATTGATAATAGTTCAAAAGGGAAGGAATGTCCCATGCAGCCGCTATGCAGAATCTTGCAGGAAATAACAGTCAATTATAACCTGCAGTGGAGTTTATCGGTGGGATGAGTGAAAGTAAGAAAGAGAGGGACCTCTTTTTGGCGGGGGGGAGATAAAGATTAGGTAAGTGCAATGGTCACATGATGATGACGTTGGAGAGGCCGAGGTATAGCCATAGCCCTTAAAACAACTAAACAATTTATCACTTTTTTCAAATGATGGTTTGTACTCTTGTGATGGTCATTTTGGCTCTGACAGTCATTCTGGCTTAAGTTCAATAAAAGTCAATATATCCCTAATAGATAAAGCGACTGTGACATAGTAAGTAGTGGCTGAGTACCAGAACTACTACTGTAAGTAAGGGTAGTACTAATTCGTGCGCGACACCACCAAATGTTCTGGTGACATGTCAAAAGAGAACGCAGTTTTGGTGGTTCTCGAAAGAAAACCCTCCAGTAAATATACCCGAAAGCTACTTCTGTTCAGCTCCGCCTATCCAGGTCCTTTGGACGAGAAGGTTCATGTCCTTCTGCTTGACCGTGATCCGCGGTCTGACGGATCCGATGTATCGCGCAAGGGATGACGGGAAGAGTCGCAGGAGCAAGCATGGATTATTGTCATTGTGCTGAAAATAAAGTCAAGAAGAAGCGTTCAATTTATGTAGAGTCCACGTGCCGTTTAATATATTCACATTCTATTGTTTACATTGAAAATTATTGCATTCTAATCTTCCGGCTACTACCCTCTCTCAGCTTTGCCCCATTTGGCATATCGTGTTCTGAGAAGGAAGTTCTTGGCTATCAAGCGTCATCACCACATATATAAATTTCTATCATGCTTAACTATTTGGGTCTCATACTTACAATAACCAAGCTCTGACCTACCTACACAAACACACTGTTGGATCCTGCTTTCACACGCTGCCACTTGTCGAGTGACACACACAACGCTCCCTTTGGCTAGCCATGGCAACCATGATTACTACGGCCACCACGGCCACTATGACCATTGGCACTCCACCCTTGGCCTTTCGCCGCCTTCATCCCACGTTTGGTGCCGACTGTGAGGGCGTGGACTTCTCGCAACCAGTCCCGGATGCCGTCATCGAAGAGCTTCGTGCCGCGATGGCCACATACGGCGTCTTGGTCTTCCGCGCCACCAAACTTGACGATGCGCGCCACTTTGCCTTTGCGCGTCAATTAGGTGAACCGATAGTGGATAACACGGTCGGGAAACCGGGGGTGCCAGATCGACTTGGTTCCAGAGGCAAGCTTATGGATGTTGGGAATGTGGACAGCAAGGGCCGGGTCTTATCGCCATCGTCTTGGCGGGCGCAGCTATTCCGGGGCACACGCCTCTTCCACGTAGACGGCTCCTTCACCCAACGCCGAGCAGGATATAGCCTCCTCCGAGCGCACAAACTGCCCCCAAAGGGAACCGGCGGCGCGACGGCATTTGCCGACACCAGGACTGCTTATGCGGATCTCGCTGAGGAGACAAAAGCCGAAATTCAAAATCATGTGCTATGGCATTCAATCATGCAGAGTCGATATCTAGGAGCCCCGGATAATTGGCTCATCAGGTTAGTGGTTGCCGTCTCCGACCTGGATGACCTGCGTCGTATCCCATATCTGATGGCGGTGGTATGTTCACACATGCTTCGAGAAAGCGGCTTCCTTAGTAAGACATCGTATTGTGCTAACCAAACTATTATCTTTTACAGGGTCTCATAGCCCGTGTATTGGGGATTTGGGTCGATATTGTGGACATCAGCCTGCTCCTGATGTTCTGTTTCGTTTTGGGGCGGATCTTGGTGCTGTGTTGGTTGCCCGCGGCTGCAAGAGCGCGTGGGCGTCATCAGCTTGCACAACTGCACAAGCCCAGCAATCGAATGAATCTGTATATGGGGTCACATGCATACCGGATAGACGGGAGGAGCAAGGCAGACAGCAAGCCCGTAATTGAGGCTTTGATGCGGCATGCCAGTCAGGACAAATATGTGCTCACCGTGGACTGGCAGAACGATGGAGACATGATTATGTGGGTATGTATACCATGTAGATCTGTCTGTAGAAGCCACAAGCAATGCTAACGTTATTAGGACAATACTTGCGTGATGCACCGATCATGTGGTGGCTCATATCAAGGACGGTATGTGCGTGATATGCGCAGGGCCACAATCTATGACTCCGCGTAGGCACTGAAGTGAACTTGTGCGAAGTTTGAAGAGGTGTTTATCACAAGAAATATAGCCAGAACGACGAATTGTGTAAATTTCAGGATACCATAACTTGTTTGCACCTTTCAGGGGTAAGAAGCAGACGCCTGATTTTAATTTTGTGAAGAAAGATGAAGGATGCCGGCCCCTGCACTAGTCCCTATTTAGCTAGCTTCAATTGAGTGTGGGTACCTGACCGTTAAGGTGTCATGTCAGGCACACAGGCATTGAGGATGATTCCAGACGATATCAATGGAATTTCAGTGATCTTTTCAAAGTGACAGTATCTCTCTCTTGTATACAGTATTTACTACTTCTCTTTATTGACTATAGTGTAGACACTGTACTGCCGCATCATCACGTCCTAGTTCCTCCACCTCCCTCATTCTACCCGAAACGTCATTTCAAGAAGCCCTGATGCAATCCCTTAAGTGGATCTGCAGGATGCCCATACGCCCTATCCCCTCACATTCAATGGCCGAGAATTCCGCCGAGCAGAAAGAGGGGAAGAAAGCTTGAGTAGCCTGCAGCAGAGGTACGTACCTGAATCATGCATCACTGCGGAGAATCACCTCTACTCGGAGCATTCTCCGTAGCGGACAATATCACGCCCGCCTATAGGAAGGGGAAGAATAGTCACTACTTCAAAGTGATTGATGAATCCCGACCAAGTAAATTCCATGTAGCGTAGTACTACTCTCTCCTTCACAGGAGATGAGGTACCCCGTAGGCAGCTTCATATTTAACATAGTATTATCCCCTCGCTGATCTTCCAACTTACAGTAACCTGTGTACTTAGAAGTACCCCCTCTCAAACCATCACCTTTCAAACCTATCTCATCACAGAGAACAACCATCCAAGATGATCTCCATCTTCACCCTCCTCCTAACTCTATCTCTAACTCTAACGGCAACCGCCCACCCCTCCGTCACCCACCAAAAACGCAGCGTGACATGCCTCAAAGTCGGCGCCACCGCAACAGCCACCTGGACCAACAGTGCCGATCAAACCTGCACGTATGTGGGCGTGGTAGGCAGTAACTATGGCGAGAATAGTGATGGTGATGGAGAGTATGTTGGTCCCTTTTTTTTTTCCCCTTCACTTCCAATTCACTTATCCCATATGTTTCTTCTCTGTCACTACATCACCACTAGTGAAAGAACTGAAAAGCTAACCTAAATACTGTTCAAACAACAGTTACTCCTGCAACGGACGCTGCGGATCAGGATGTAGCGGTATCGCACTGGGTAATGTCTACACCCAGGATTGCTTTTCACATGATATCTGCTCTTACTTCGAGGATGCGAGCGGAGGTGCTAGGTGAGTGGTTCTATCTACAAGAAATAATATAATAAGATTATGTGATTGAGATATGCTAATAGTGTGTACTAGTGACCCCAACTGCGGAGCAGCATACAAGGCCGCAGAGGATGATTACTTGCTGGGATTGATTGATGGGTGCTCGCAGACGAATCCCACTAATGCGGTGGTGAAGCCAACGGCGATTCCGGTTTGTACTTGATGCATTACTGTCAGGTCTTAGGAATAAAGAGAGGAGAATCGTTACAAGTGACTTGTCTTCATATCTAAACACAATATGGCTTCTGATATATGTACAGTCCATCTAATTACTAAATCGCACAAAGCATATATACTAGGTGCAAGTATAACATGCAAACATAAAACGTATTAACAGATGCACTACTTCCGCTCCCCAATCAGCTCTCTTGACTCATCACTAGTAGAACTCCCCTGTCGTGCACCCACCATACAGGCACAATGCGCTTCCATCGGTGGACTAAGCGCCTGTTCAATATCATCCTGCAACACGCTCAACCCCGGCTTGCGCCTATTACTCGACGGAGTAGAGTTAGAATTGGACGAGGCCGACGGTCGCGACTGACTGCTGTTGCTGCCCGAATCACCAATCCAGCAGGGCGCATGGAAGCGCAGGAACTGTTTCAGATAGGGAAGGCAGGGGCATATAATGATGAAGTTGGCTTCGATGATGCTGTAGATCGTGTCAATAAGATCCGTCCGGTATTGGTATAGTGTAGTCTGTACGCACATGAAGATGACGGCTAGAGCAATTTCGTATGATTGGTCATCGGACGTTACCAGCGGCATTAGAGTCACCAGCCGGATTATGCTGGTGATTATAGTTCTGTGATGTAGTGAGTTATAATTTGGTCAACCATGGAGGGGATATCATTGGATTGAAAGAAGAAAGATCACCTACAAGCAACCAATCCCAAACATACAGCCGACCCCGAGCTTCTGGATCAATGGAAGTTTCAGCTTGACTATGACTGGGATAGGGATAAGGATCAATATGATATCGCTAACGGTGTTGGTAATGGCCGTAGCGAGATAAAACCCGACGCGGTCAACGCAGTGGCCGGTAGTGATGGTCAAGTCCCAGTTTTTGGCGATGGGTTGGCAAGGAAAGATGAGACCCAAGGTGAGGGCGATCGTGTAGCCGGCAATGATGAAGGTAACGAGGAAAACGATGTTTCTCCAGATGCGAATCATGCGCAACAGGCGATAGTAGAGCATCAGCAGAGCGAATTTGGCCGCAGCTAGGGCAGGGACGTAGATGAGGGCGGCAGAAAGGAGAGTCTGGTTACTGGCTCAGCGACGACACCACAGCAGGCTAGAAGACGAGGAAGAAGCAACATCGAAGGACGGACTTTCACGTAGATTTCGAGAACCGCGGGAGACAGGTACTCGATATGGACTCCATAGCCTCCATAAGTGTAACCGTCTACATGGAGAGGGCGGTTAGTTTCTGTGTGCGCTGGAGTTCAGCAACTAAAACCAGACGAATCTGCATAAACATACAGAGAATGACAGATTGCGTGCCAATGGAAAAGATCTGTGATATCAGAGACATGTGAGTGCAAGGACTAAGACAAGGTCATCGCTGCTACACAATACCCAAGCGAGAATTAAGCAGACTGCAGGCTGTATTAGCCACCAACCACTCAAATCTTTACACTATATAAGCATAGAAAACGTACCATCATCCCACCAGAACTTCCGCATGATGTGGATCTTGGTGTATATTCGCATGACGAGTAAGACTATGCAGAGGGAAATCCAAATCCCGGCCAGGATCTGATTGGTGGTGCGTAACCATGGGTGCGACGAAGTCCCCCGGAGAGCGTCATCACCAGCAGCTCTTCCCAGCACGTCCATATTGAAGGGCCGACAAGCAGCGGCAGGTTTCCCCGAATAAGGGGCATTATTATTGTTATATCATGTCGATCCTAACGCAAATTGACAGATGGCGAGAACTGAAGCCCGGTCGCGTTTGAGTAACTGGAGAAGAGTCGACTATCCCTCGTTTCCTCCCGTCTTGGTGGCTGAGTGTCAGTAGAGTTTCAGCCACGGCATCATCATCCAGTATCTGCGGCAACGAGCATCGACCGATCGTGTCGGGAACCACCGCAGATGCTCGTCCATCTGCTCGATGCGATGGGAATCCTTCATATTCCGGGGTCTGTGCATCCTCGAGTAACTTTCAACCCTCGGGTAGTTAATATACGCCACCCGAATTCTGTGCCCAAGGGCAAGTACGTCGAACAAGTAGAAAGCCATTACCACGGACCAAAAACAAAGTGGGGATATCATTACTGCATTTCGTCTATCATAAGGTTCGGGAATCTGTCTAGAACGATTCCACAACCCCGTTCATGTACATATTAGATACAGAAAAGCCACCCTCGTCAGTTGAAGGTGGCCTGAACGCTAGAAGCCGCATAGAAGGGCCTTTTGTTAATGTAGATCATAGAATCAATCCAAGGCAAAGCACCGTTCCACCGAGTCAGAGTTGTTACCCCACCAGTTGGGCATGGAAATTTGCTTTCCCGAGCCAAAGAACAGGAAGATCAACAGCATATTCAGGTTGAAACCCGCATCGAAAGCAGCGGCCACCATGTAGCTGTAGCGTTTCCATACCTCAAACCGATACCGGTAGGCCCAGTACATGACAACATATCCGCCAATAATTGCCGATGTGTAACCCGTACTGATATTACCGTAGAAGACCGACAAACCGGAGAAGAAGATGCTAACGTTCCACAGATCAATGCGCAGCCAGCGCGGTAGAGTGCGATGCATAATGTACAGGATCGGGGGCAGCACCGCGCCTACCAGGAACGCCCAGGGTAGAGGCTTCATCTCCTGCTCCTTGAACAGTCGGCTGGGTCCGAGAACTGCATACTGGACACCCAGAGTATTCGAGGATTTCAAGGACTGACCAGACCATTGGTTCAGCGGATCTGTCTTCTTGCCCGACAGATAGTCACCTTTCGTGTTGAGGACCCATCGGATCACGGCGTAGTTCACGGGAATACCGAGGATAGTGCCAAAGATCTGAGAGAAAAAGACCGTGCGTGGCGGGATATGCATGTAGTGACCGATCTTCTGGTCTTGCAGCATATACTGCGCGCGGTACCAGGCATCGCCGGCAATCGATCCGTACGTAGACGGTCCGCAGGGGTGCCGATGGCTTTTTCCAGCAGGGGTTTCGACCATGTAGCCATACACCAACTCATTAAAGGACCCGACTGCCAGTTGATAGTTCGAAATGGCATACAGAAATCCAAACGGAACCACCAAAACGGCGGCACTCGCCAGTGCCACGAACAATGTCCAGATCGGAATCCACAGATAGCCACAGGCAATCGTCACGATCAGAGCGATAAAACCAGCCATGAAAAGTGCGACGTACCACCAGAGGGGGATCTCCTTGTAGGTTCGCTGGAGAACATTGAGACGATCGTGGTACTGGTGGTTAATGCTTTGTCCCTTCTCCTGCAACGCTTTCTGCCGCGACCGAATAACTTTCATCAGATTGTTTCGGATCTGGACGAAGCCAAAGGTTAAGATCCATGTGATTGCTGCTGTCACTTTCGCATAGTCGAAGAAGGTCGCCCAGAGGTTCTGAAGACCCATGTACATGTCACCATACTCCGCGTAGGCGGTCTCGTTCAGTTGATAGTCGGAGGTAACTACCTTGAGGGTAGGGTAGGTCGTTCCGTTCACTGTCAGCAGAGAATTAGACATAAGGCCGTGCTTGTAAGACCCAAGGTTTCCCCATTTCGCGGCTGGGAGTAAGACCCAACAATTGAAAACGAAGGCCAGGAACAAAACAACCTGCGTCCACCACGGGGTAAGAAGGATCGAAGAACCGTTCCAGTTGATGTTCGACCAGTCGAGGGACAAATTCAGCAGTCCCATACCTCCCAACCCAGATCCCAGGAAGTTGGCCACAGCGTTATGCGGTGCGACCCAGCACAAGAAGGCGAGGGAAGATGTGAACGGAAAGACGTATTCGGGCAAGAACTGCCATAGGGTCATTCCCAGGAAGCAGAGGAAGAAAACCTTCATCTGCCGCCGCGCGAGGGGGGATGAAACATCCTGTTTCCGGAACGTTTCAAACAACGTAGTCTGCATGAGGGCCTGTGGCCAGATGAAGTTGGGGTCATATAGCAGAAGCTGGCGGGCCAGTGCTGCGAAAGCATACCCAATCCAGACAATCGCAAACATGAAGAAAATAGCCACGGCAGGATTGACTCGCTCGCCGTAGTAGAGCTCTGCCATTGCGATCGGGGTATATCCCAAGTTGTAGGTAGCTCCGGATGCCGCCGTCAAGGTAACCAGAACGTGTTCCTTGATGCTCCACGGGCCCGGGTTGAGGCTAAAGGACCAACGGGTAAAGGGTACGCGGATCACCCAGGCTGGGAGGACCCGCGCCAGAAAGTGACCCGCATAGTGGCACGCGATCTGCACGAAGAAAACGGAGTATGGGGCTTCGGTGGTACGGAAGTGGCTCATCATGGACAAGAAGGCACCGGGTACGACGAATATCACACAGAGAACGAAGTATCGAAAGGTAATGGTGTACAGGGTTGGGTCATCAGTAAGACTGACCAACTGGCGCACCTCGAGGGGCAGCGCGGCGATCTCGGGGTCTTCTTCGGCTGCGGTTTCGACCACATTGGGCTCTTCGGTCTTCTGACTCTTCTCCAAATCATCCACGGGCTGTTCCTTCACGGACGCCGCTTTGGAGACGGAGACGGACGTCTGGTCCTCCCGGTAGCCCGTTGTGGTGGCGACGGGCGATACATCACCGGCATCAGAAGGCGCCGCATCATTTCGCTTCCGTCGAAAGATCGTGGATAGGCCCATGGTGAAGAGCCGGAGGCTGAGATCTAGCGCGCAGAGGCGGATGAGGTGAAAAGACGCATGCCCAAGCAGTTCGTTCCAATGCAGAGAGGGGTGAGGCAGCCCGCAGTTATAGAAACGTTTCCATGATCGAGTGACTCCTCGCCCTTCTCCGCATCAGGTAAGGGGGCGATGGCGCAATCGAGCAGCAGCACCGCAGCATTTTCACACACCCCAGCTGCCAAGTCGGTCGGCTTAACGCCGAATGGCTAGAAAGTGCGAATTGTGCAGGTGGCACGAGCTAGGGCTGACCATCGTGGTTGAGAAAATGAAAATGGGGGGAGGTCGCGCCCCAATGGGATGCTTAATCCGGTTAAGCTTAGATAAGAGAAATCGATGAGCAAGAATTCGCGTGGATAACAAAATCAAGTGAGATTTGACCGAGATGGGGCGATAATGGCTTGAGGCAACATATAACCAAGCAGGTTTATCACCCTCTGAATAATTAATGAAATTGGAAGTTTGAAGAAAGATAAGCTGAGAGAATACTAAGATTGAATTTGGATTATATAAAGAATGGTTCAAGAATAAAAACAAATCCTCGTCTAAAATTATCGACTGCTACTATGCGATAATAAAGAAACTGCTTTGATTAATCTATATTGGAGACTGAATGTCCACATAAAAAACATGCCTCGATACAGCTTCGTATTTGCAGACTAGGCGCGGGTTGAGACGACCTGTTCTTTGGGCTTTTGACCAGAAGAAGAAAAACAAAAACAGAAGCATTTGATTCCCCCGAACCAGAATCGAACTGGTGATTTTTCGGTTACAATGAAATTCCTATTACAGCCGAACGCCATAACCAACTAGACCATCGGGGGATCGTTGGACTGGCCGCTGAGACCTGGCCCTTATGTTTCAGCAGTGTGTAAATATACAAATTTTTTATCGGAAATATAGAGCAATTGCATTTCGTGGCTGGAAGTAGACCAGCGTAAAATCATACTGTACAATAGACTTTATGTATAGCTATGGCCACAAGGTTTTTCACCAACAGTCTAACGCACACACAACGAAATGGGTTACATTTTTGGTCATCTGACACTTAGAATGTACAAGTCACGCGCTCTAGAATTATAGTTTAGGTTTGAAGTAAAATTCGTACGGGCCAACGACGGCTCGGGAAAAAAAGGAAAAGGATATAAGAAGAGTCCCCCGAACCAGAATCGAACTGGTGATTTTTCGGTTACAATAACTTCCATTACAGCCGAACGCCATAACCAACTAGACCATCGGGGGTTCTTATTGTCATCAGTCAACAATTATGCATCTATCAGACAGGGTTATATTTTACTCCTCAGCCCGCTAGGTCGGCTGCGAGCCAGCAAGCCGGCAAGCCATTTTTTGGCTAATATAAAAGGTTAAATAAACCTGCTAAAATTCAACAAATAGGTATAAAAGAGAGGACTGGTTAGTTGACACTGGCTAACTAATTCCTGTGTTTTCATAACACCACGAGGCGATCAAGATGCTTCGTTGCAGTAGCTGAAGCTCGAAACAGCAGATTTCCGAAGTTTTGAATTACGGGCAACCGGATAGAATGGAGAGTCCATAGATATGGCCACCCGAATTGTCAAACACGAATGGAGGCCAGTCCTTGACGAGCAACGGGGGGTGAAAATAGCACTGAGCAATCGCCCCTTGATATCGGCAGTCATGCAGGTAATCGCATATACTACCAGCGCAAGTGGGATATCCGGTTCGATCTACGGCACACATGCTGAACCTTGGGCTTCACAGTGATTTGTGACCAATCAACAGCACTGTTCGCCTTTGCAGCACCCTACTAATAGTAAATGTGGATACACGTCAAGCAAAAACTTGGATATCCCCCGAACCAGAATCGAACTGGTGATTTTTCGGTAACAATGATGCCATTACAGCCGAACGCCATAACCAACTAGACCATCGGGGGCTTATTATAATTGTGTTGGCTGGCTTTTTGTTTATCGCGTGGTGAATGGTAGAGCTAAGTAGCTGTCATACCAGGGACAAAAAAGATTTGCTCCCCCGAACCAGAATCGAACTGGTGATTTTTCGGTTACAATAATATCCATTACAGCCGAACGCCATAACCAACTAGACCATCGGGGGCTTGTTGGTTTTATGTCCTTATGTTTTGTATTTATAAATGCCATGAAACACATGACTGGCAAGGCAAGAAAAAAGATCTCATATCCCCCGAACCAGAATCGAACTGGTGATTTTTCGGTTACAATAATTATCCATTACAGCCGAACGCCATAACCAACTAGACCATCGGGGGTTGTGATGACGAAGCAGCCAAAGTTTTGACTACATATTCTAAATTGTGTACCTACAGGAACTCGGTAGTGACTAGTTGTACTTCCAGTTCTAGACACAAAACTACGAAAGGGATATGCTGTGTTTCAAGGGCAGACTGAAAATATACTTGCCATAATTGTAACATGAATCTGCTTAAGCGGAATATGCCTATCGCTTTGTCTATCCGGTCAAAGGAGTGCTCGGTACTAGCATTACTGTCACCACAATCACTTGAATAATATATATATAAATACCACTCTACAACGTGGGAACGAATTGGAACGCTGTCTGTTATTGATGGGTATCGTTAGTACTCGATCACCTGGTCTACGTGGAATGTCTGCTATCTGCTGTAGTATATTCACGAATATCTCTAGCAGATCGAAATAATCCCACTTAGAGGAGCTACTCCAACACACCATGATACCCGTAGCCTGCAGTATTTTATCAGGTATAAATTATGTCTCTCACAGAGGTCCCAGTCCTCCTCTGTACGTACCATCGGCGACTGAATGATTTTGATTCCTCCAGTGTGTACCCTTCCAAAGCGTCCATAAGGCTATTCATCTTTCTCACTATACGCTCTCCCCGACTTGATAAACAGACATGAAAAGAGCCATTCTTTCCGATTCCCTCGATAGAAACGACCAGTCGGCTTGCAGGGTCCGTTGTTAAAAGCCTTATTGGCATAGGCGAACTGGGTCGGAGCTTCAGTGAGATGAAACCGTAATTGCAACTGGTCGCCCACCCGAAGCCCCAGTTTGAGAGATCGGGAGATAATGAAGCAAAAATCACTGCAAATCAAAGTCTGAGCGCTCCGATCATCGTCGTACCCCGAAACTGTCTTCTGTGACCCATTGGTAAGAACATTTTGTAGCTCCTTCATTTTTCTTATCTCAACAGCCTTTTCTGCTAACTTTCTATTTCGGGCCATGATGTCGGAGTAGTAGACCCGAAGGATGGGATCAGGAGAGTCTCGAAGATCATTAAATGAATCCCTTACAGCTTTTGCCCACCTGCGGATCTCAGGATCTGGCGATAGAAGGAAATTCTGGAATGCATCTCTTCCACCACATGCCTCGGCAGGTGCGGAGTCATTTCCGGTAAACCCTTGCCAGATTGGGGGAACAACGTTCAAGTGGCGAGTGGACCACATTCTACAGACACCCAGAGGAAGGTATTCGTCTAAGTGCTTGGCGGTAAGCGTCTGAAAGATACAAGCCATCCACATTTCCTGAATGTTAAGCAGACAAGCATCTGCATTGTTTGTACTTGACTTCAGCTCAACTAGGGTGACGAATGTAGACTCAATATCCTTGACGGAATCCCAGACATGGTAGTGAAGGCTCGCATGCGTACGCCGATACCAAGGATCATTATGGTTCGCGATGCGCTCAGAAAGCTTGCTGGATTGGCCCACATAAGACCACATCCTTTGATGATTCGATGCACTCCAGAGAATGTGCAGATATACACCAGGGTTATCTGAATTCTCTGGCATACCGCCAATAGAGCATAGGCTATATAGGGTGTGATCCTACTTTAGTACAGCGCGAAGCCTAGAAAGGAGAAAGAGAGAGAGAGAGAGGGAGAGAGAGAGAGAGAGAGGGAGAGAGCATAACATACCTGCCTACATCAAAATTTCCAGACTCGCTTAGTCGTTTCACATGATCATTTAATCCCGATTCAAGCATTTTCCTCAGGTTTACCCAATCGCATCTTTGGAGTATTTCATACCGATCACCGAACTTTTCACCAACAACCTGAACCAAATGGCGTAGTAGATATGTTGGATCTATAGGGCCACGATCCCCAAGAACAAGTGGGGTCTCAATAAGTTCCTTGATGTCCGGCTGCTTCGGCTGTCTAGTTTTCCCATGATGGTGCGAACGTGGAGTGCCCCGATGTGTATTAGGCATACTCAATTCCCTCTCGAAGACGGTGCCTTGTTTGCTGGTTAGTTGCCTTTTTATGGTTGCCATGAGAAATTCGTCTCTGTATCACTTCGCGTTGGCTCGCCAACAGCGTCTTCAAGTACTCATCATGTTGATGACGCCTCTTGACACTCGCCTGAACCCGTGAAGTGGCGCTGCTATGTTTATCATGATATGACAGCGAGCGCGGAATCTTGTTGAGATACCAATAGAATACCCTAATAACGAATGGATAGTCCACCGCAGATATAATATCTGCGTCATACACATCCTCTTCTATATCCCGAGCCAATTCATCGAGTAAACGTTCCAGAACAAAGCAACGTAAACGTTCTTGCTCAATGGTCTCGTTCTCGGCCCGATCGGGTAAAAGGTTTGAATTGATGCCGAGTTCGAATGTGTCGGCGAGGAAGGGTAGAAGTTGGTCAACTAGCGCAGTGTGTAGGCGGTAGCAATCCCAATTCTCTTTCTTGAAGGCCTCCACAAGCTCGCTAGCCTGCTGGCAAGAGAGGTGAGGACCAAGTTGCAAAGAAGTACTTGTCACATTACGTACCTCGACCATCGCCACTACCAGACTATTCAGATCTGTGGTACGAATGATAGTTAGCATGCATACTCAATAAAGCTTTGAATTTCGGGACTGTATGTTTGTCGAACAAGGGAGCCCCGGCCTAGCCAACTCAGTAATAAAAATTAGCTTACAGGATATGTTGAGACATTCACTCTAGCCAGTCATTACCTGACACCAACCGACAACCAAAATCTTAAGATTCAGATGGATCAAATACATACATCCAACCCCTGCGTCTTGAAAGAATATATTGACTACACAGTAGTAGATGATGAATAGTATGACAGATAGTTGACAGAGTGAGGGCAAAGGTGAGGGTAAAAGAAAAGGGTAACTGATTCCCTACTAAGAATGCAGTAGAGCTGTATCAACGCATGATTTACTATGGTCTTCCATGCAGTTATTGCTAGCGATCATTGTTTTGGCAGCCGCTATTGATCGGTCCTTTCCAGGTTAAATCCGGTTACGGTGCCATCGCGGGCAGCTGCACCGCGCGACCGACCCGCATAGCGTGAAACGCCTGATCTGACATTGGCTTCAGCCGCCAATTGCCGTTTATCTAAGGTTGTATTCGTAAGTAGGTGATTTGATGATCATTCATTACCCAAGCACAACAGGAAACGGGATGACCTCATGGCGGTGGTTTCGGTACGGTCGGAGGTATCCGTGGCAAACCATGGATATATGTACAGCGGTCATTTAAGCCAGTGACAGCAGAGGCAGAGAATTGGGCCAGGGCCTGACAGTGCCCGGTTGCCTTTATTGATGGATCCAAGCTGTCAGGCCCGTCATCTTGATTGGGGAGAAAAGGGAGTAAGTACTAGGGAGGGAATGCAGGGCATGAATTCGCTGTGAACAGGGCGATGACGTCCTTCTCACATCAGAGTCCCGGACCGTCAGAATTCTCTCGCGCCAGCTATTATAACTAACTAATCAAATGGCACCTCGACGGTCTTCAATGTTGATTTACGATCGCACAACTTTTCTTTCCTAGTTAATTGCATCAATCTCACACGCTTGAAGATGCCTGAGCATACACGGAAGCACAAGGTGGCCGTGGTCGGTTCCGGTAACTGGTATGCACCATCTCTGATTCTCTTCCTTGCCGCTGTCGCGCATTTAGCTAACACCGTGGTAATCTAGGGGATCCACTATCTCCAAGATTGTTGCGGAAAACACCAAAGAGCATCCCGACCTTTTCGAACCGGAGGTGCGCATGTGGGTGTTTGAGGAGGAGATCGAGGTCCCGGAATCCTCCAAGCACCACAAGAAACTAGGCGGCCAGAAGCGCAAATTGACCGAGGTCATCAACGAGGTCCACGAGAATGTCAAGTATCTGCCGGATGTTGCCCTCCCTGATAACGTTGTAGCCGACCCAGACATCAAGTCGGCCGTCAAGGATGCTACCTTACTCATCTTCAACCTCCCCCATCAGTTTATCGGCAAGACCCTCGATGGTGTTGTCGGGCACCATCTCCCCTATGCGAGAGGTATCTCTTGTATCAAGGGCGTCGATGTGTCAGACGGAACCGTGACTCTCCACTCCGAACTCATCATGGAGCGACTCGGTATCTACTGCGGTGCCTTGTCCGGCGCCAACATCGCTCCAGAGGTAGCCGCGGAGAAGTTTTGTGAGACGACCATCGGTTACGACACCCCTCCGATGGATGCGAATGAGCGTAATGGGTCGCCGAAGGATAACTTGATCAAGATTGATGAGCAGCGGCAACATAAGACCAAACCCACGCATGTCAAGCTACACCCGGTACCAAAGGATCTCCCTGCAGTCGATGCCGAGCTGTGGGAGACTCTGTTTGCCCGCCCATATTTCCATGTCAATCACGTTCGCGACGTTGCCGGAGTGGCTCTAGGAGGTGCTCTGAAAAACATTATAGCTTTAGCATCGGGCTTTGTTGCAGGAAAAGGCTGGGGAGAAAATGCCAAGGCAGCAATTATGCGTGTCGGCATCCTGGAGATGATTAAGTTTGGTCGGACGTGGTTTCCCAAGTCTGTGGATGAGAGGACTTTTACTGAGGAGAGCGCGGGTCTGGCGGACGTGATTTCCTCGTGTAGCGGTGGGCGGAACTTCCGGTCAGCCTGTCATGCAGTCGAGCAGGGGGTCAGCGTCAATGAAATCGAACAGAAGGAGCTCAACGGCCAGAAGTTGCAGGGGACTTCGACGGCTTACGCTGTTTATGACTTTCTCTCGAAGCACGACCAGCTAAAGGAATTTCCGTTGTTTGTTGCAGTTCATGGTAAGCATCCCCTTCGATTTATCTTCCTCACAAGCTCGTACTAACGTTATGTCAGACATCCTCGAAGGAAAGTCTACTGTTGATGACCTGCCGGCACTGCTAGATGGGAAGAAGAAAACGAAGAAGAGCGCCTGAGGGTGCGTGATCCCGTTCAATGGTTTCCGAACCTAGATAATGAGATATGACATGTTGCTAGAATATCAAATGCTAGTCAATAGATGAATAAGAGTTATTTCAATCAAAGGCATCTTGTAGCTCGCAATATTGCGGCTCTGGGATGAATTAAGACCAGACCACAGTAGGTGCCGGTGAAGGTCCGTCGCGACCTGCCCTCACATGACTTGACATTCTACCTACATCCCTACTTTGTAGGCTATTCATAGAACACATATAGTAAGTAGTAAAGACACAGCGCCCGTATCCAAGCAAATGCCTACAGTGCACAGTTCATAACTTAGAACATGGTTATCAATCATTACATTTACTCCTCAGGAGCTTCACCCGAAAGCTGTCCCAGTTTCTGGCCCGCTGCCTTCTTTCCCTGTTGCGAGACTCCAGGGTTGCTTTGAGCTCTATTGAAGAGATGATCAGTATTCCATTCCAATTAAATATGAGGTAATGTATCCAACTCACGCCTTTAAGCCACCAGCCACGCGGTTAGGGTCCTTAGTAGCGTCACCGCGGAGGTTGTAGAGTTCCTCCCGGGGCTGATCTCCGCCGAGTTGCTCGATCATGGCCTGAGCATTCTGCTTCGCCTCGTCGGAGGTATTAGGATTATTTAGGGTACTGTTTGCAATTTGGTCAATAATCTATTTTGTAATAGTTGGAAGGAGCACTCACGCCTTGTAGCCACGCAGAGCGTTGAGTCTGTCTTCGGTGGAGGACATCATGTAGTAGTTAGGGTATGTAAATATATATTATGGATGATGACAGGGCCACTGAGCTTGGTACGTTGTATGAAAAGTATCTAATAGACCTGAACAGATCTGCTTCACCCCGTTACCTATATACCGACTGTCTGAACTGAGAGCCTCACTCGTCATTCTCTCATCTCGTCTCTTGGTGAGGGGGTTAAGTCAATCTGACTTCATGCTGGCCGGGATGATGCCCGGTTAGGTAATGCGTGTAGGTCTGGGCCTTATCCAATAGGTTCTATTCTACTTGATTCGTTGAATATAAAGCTAGACCACGAGTTAAAGCCTCGGTACCGTGGAGAGCCGATTTTAGATTGGTGGTGATAGCCAGCTGATTGGTGTAGTCTCGCTCGTTGCTCGACGCGATGGCACTAAAGAATTAACGTGCAGGTTTAGGGACTACCACTTATGCATAATGGGGTCTATTCCGCAAGGCTGGTTCATTACGAGACAGTCAAGAGCCTTTCATGCCAGATAAGAGTGTGTTGTCAGGCTCAGGCCTCAAGAGTGGCATCAAAAGTAACTGACAACTGCACGGGAGCACGAAGCAGGATATAGCTGTAGTTACAATGCAAATATGATTGGTATCGTAACCATTACCACATGTCCTGTTCCTAATCCAATTGTATCTTGGCTGCGATTGACTTCATACTGACGACCGGCCAATGGTCTCTGCTTGCCTTATTGCCTGATGCTGCCCACAGACGGTTGCATGCGAGAAAGTTAATAGTATGGAGAAGATGACAAACGGCTCATACTTCTGGCCTTGATTTGATTGTTATTGACGTGGATGGCGGACGAAAGCAACCACAGTCACACTGACCGCTTGTATCTTCCTCGACTGATATGTCAGGCAGTACGCACACACAACAGGAAAGGTAGGCGGTGAGGATTTCCGGACAGGGGGTGCTTTCCGTTGTGGATCCATCCTTCGCTTAACTACGAAGAATCCAAATCCTCGCTCATTCCTTTCTCCAGGACTGAGAATGTCGGTTATATATTAGAATTTGACATGGGTCAGTCCATCTTGTTTGTTTATTATTAAGACAGATTGAATAACCCGTATGTCATGATCCCAGGAGCCTATCTTGGCACGGGAACAAGGCCGCCGAGCATTTTGTCTCTAGACCTGTACTTTAACTTGCTCAGCTGCATTCTTACTATCCCTTTTAATCTACGGGATCGTTAAGGGACGTCAAAGCTCAAACTAGCTTTTGATGCGGCGAAAAAAGCGTTCGAGTCTTGGAGACTTTGAGAAATAGTCACGTATCTCCAACTTTTAACTATAATGGGACACACCAATGTGTACGCCTACTTAATCTTCAGAGCCCCAACCACTTTTGCCTTTAGCGCGCCGATGCACTGTATAAACAAAACCAACATAATGGCCAGTGCTGCAGGCTTCCAAGGATAAAGAATCCGGGGATGTAGATCCCTGACCCTCACTCGTGCCGGAAGTTGGAACCGACTATGCTTGTGGGTCTGGAGCAAGGGGTGACGCCAGTGGACCCAGCGGCTTGCATCCCATCGATCCTTGCCATCAACATGCAGTATCTACTATGGAAAAGTTTGACTGTGCCTCAGCAAGAGCGTTGCAACAAGCTTAGGTTGTTGAATGACAGTGGACTTGGCGATAGCATGCTTCTCCCTTGGCTTCCAGTTGGTAATATCTTGTGACAACATTGGGCCCTCTACTTAGCCGAGACCGTCCATCCCATGATTTACCCACCTGTGAAAGGGTGATCCTATGTGGGGATCCATCCTGAACTTCTCAATTGAACCTCTAGATACCACACTGGCTCATCCCTTCCTCACCAAACTTAAGATTCCGTGTATGTTCCTACCATAAACACAAGCAGACTCCGAAGGAGCCATCTCAGGTATAAATACGAGGTGCTGACCTGCTGTATTTCCCTCATCATCAGCCAGAACACAACAGCCTTCAACTACCAATCCACTCTTTCTTATTCTACTAACCTATCTACAGGGAACCGTGAGTTACATAGTACCCCTCTTCATCCATCCCACAACTGAACAATCTCCAGACAACCCGCCAAAATGCGCTTCACCTACCAAGCTCTCGCTGTCTTCATCAGCTCCCTCCTGGTCAACAGCGCCGCCGCCCACGCTTGCGAGAGCAGCGCTGTTTGGCCCGATCCCGCCAACTGCCACAAATTCTACCAGTGCAACCCTGGCACTGAGCCCGCCCACAAGGAGTGCGGTGCTGGCACTGCCTTCAACCCTAAGATCAGCGCATGCGACTACGAGCAGAACGTTCCTTCTTGCTTCAAGGACCCCCACCACCCTCGCCCTTTCCACGCCTAGATGGCAAATATACTTTTCCGACCAAAGTCACTCCTTTGACCGATATGTTTTGAGTATAGGTGTACAGGCTTATACTGGGACATTTTAATTTCTAATGTATCTCTAATTGGGGGGGTCGACTATAAAATACTTTGAAAAAGTGGGTGCATTTGTTATCGGATTTGTCTATCTTGTACTATCAGTTGAATGCACTATGGTCATCCAATTACTAGTGCACAATGTGTTAATTTAACTATATTATTCGCATCAATAATGCATATGATCGGCACAAATGGTATCATATCTTATATGGATGGTCTATCAAATCTACATCAAATGGTATCGTACGCGGTAACAGTATGCAATGCATCCGCTTTACAAATGGTATTGAGGGGCGCCGCTTTCCTCGAATCCCATACGCTGCCACCACCGATCAACACCCATGTCTTCTTGCGAGCTGGCAGATCGTTAGCTTGTATTCCTTTACAATTTAGAACAATTTGTGCATATGAGGAACTTACTCCCAAGACTCCTTAACAACAGGCTCATTCTGTCCTTCAGCGGGGTTGGGATTCCGGAACACAATGTTGTATTTCTGTCCATCCAAACTATTAGCACTCCCTCCATACCGCAGACACAATGTAATGAAATAGAGAACTTACCAATCCCAACGTAATATGAATAGCCATCGGGAACGGCGGGAACGCCTCCTCGGGCTTCTTCCCCTCGATCATCGCCTGGATATTCTTCGCCACGGCCGCAGCCTGGGGACCACCGGGTCTTGCGGCCTTGCGCAATCCAGTATCAGCGATATCGCCCAGCGCAAAGAGGTTCGGGTACTTCGGGTCCTGGAACTGCAAGGTGGGACGGATGCGAATGAAGCCGTTATCGGGGTTGATGAGAGAGTCGGGAGAGGAAGCGGGGAGAGACTTGATAAGGTCGTTGTTGGGTTTCTGGCCCGTGGCGAGAATGACGAACTCGGTTGAGAGTTCGGTGCCGTTGTTCAGTTGGACGGTGAAGGGGGTGCCGTTGTTAGGGAAGCCGGATTCGGGGACGACGATGCGGGCGCCGGTGACCAGGCTGCAGTGGGTTAGTTGGAATGATTCGATGAGAGTAGAATAGGTGGTAGTTGGTGGAACTAACTTGATACCGAGCTCCTCAAAGCGCTTCTTCACGATCTCGTGAAGACCGCGGTGGAATTGAGGCATCAATTGATCGCGTGACTGCACCACGGTAATTTCCTTCTCCGGGTACAGCTCCTTCATGTCGGTGGCCATCTGCACACCGACGGCTCCACCGCCAACGATTACTACAGACTTGGCTTTCTTGACGTCTGCTTGGTGCTTCTGGAGGTAGAGGACGGAGGAGGGTTTGTCGTCGTCGCTCATGGCTGCGGGTTGGGCGAGACGCGTGCCTGTTGCGACAACGAGGTAGTCGAATGGGATCTGCTTCAGACCTTGCCAGTCACGGTCGAGGTTGACGTGTTGGGGCTGTACGGAGAGAACGCGCGCCTGGACGACTGCATGTTGTGTGGCATTGGGGATGGAGGAGTAGAGGCGGGAGTAGGGGATGAAGGCTTTTTGTTCGTGGCCGGAGAGGACGGCGAATCGGGGCTGAGGTGCGGATTAGCTTTTGTGTCTTTGATGGTGATTTAATGGCAAATAGAATGTTGTCACATACAAATGCGAAAAGATGGTGGAAGTGACTGTGGGGTTCGATCAGGAGGACCTGCGGGCGTGGGTTAATATGGTAATTTGAACCCGTATAGATGTCAGAGTGGGACATACTCTATGTGTGCTGGGAACGACCCGCGCAAGCTCTTGTGCGACTCCCTGTATTTGCTGTCAGTCATGTTTCTGGAATATTAACCGTGTTGCGCGTGAAATTACCTTTCCGACATAGGAACCGCCCACGACGATAACGTTCTTCAAAGAAGTTGCGGCCATACTGACGGAATTTTCAGTGCGGTGTTGGATTATTCTAGGAGCGATAGACGAGATAATCAATGCTATGCTTGCAGTGATAAATGTATTAAAAATCCAGGAAGGTATAGGTCTGTCTGAAGGTAGAAACATGATCAAATCGCGACCGAGCAAGCAGAAGCACGAGTATATAAGGGCGGCAGAAGGATTAGCCCCGGAGGCAAAGTTGGGGATTATCGTCCAGGGGAGCTCGGCATATTCCTTATCTGATCTCCCGACTGCCCTTTTGAGTATCTCCGAGACGGCATCCACCCCGGATTGGTTCCGGGTGGCAGTGGCGTCACTCCCATAATTCCGGTGGTCCACATTGCCGTGTACACAAAGTCGTCTCTTGCAGGTGGCAGTTCTTTCGGTATGAAATTCCTGGTGTTGTGAGGTGGATGTGTAGAGATTCATTCGGACAGTAAGGGCGCAATGGGGAGTGCGCCCCGTGCATGGCTCCGAACTCGAGCGTTCTCTCGAGTATAACACTATTGTGTAGTTCGAACGAAAGCAGTAACTCCTTTACTACAATGTCCGAAGCATCACGGACTATTCTTTGTCAACAGCCTTAAGATCAGATAAGAGACGACCACCGCCGAGCCCCACGGCAGTTGATCGCGGATGAAGTCCCTCGGATTTGCGGGGTTCGGATATACGGCCGGATTGATGGGATTCCAGAGATTCGGTTTAGGGATTAAGTCGTTCTATGGTTGAACTTGCCAGTCTGAGAATGAACCTCCGAGATACTGCTGCCTAGTAGATTTCAAGGATTGTCTTGACTCTTGATAGGAAGAATGGCTGCTGCCTTGTATCTCAGGCGTCAGCCACGTGGACTATCCACGCTAAGCCCCGTGATCTCGTCCTTATCGCGTCTCACGCAGCACACACGCAGTTGATTCAATTTCGTTTATCTCCAGGCTGATTGTCTTCAATTCTACTGGCAGCTCAACCTATGCTCCTCGACACCCCAGGTCCATCCGAAACCACAACATCCCCAACATCCACCCGCAAGAGAGCTGGGGGCCGAAGGTCCAGGACTGGGTGTCGTACCTGTCGGTGAGTTAGACCTGCAGCACACACGGTACCTTGAATCCCTTGCTAATCAAACCGCGCTTCTTAGTGCCCGTCATAAGAAATGCGACGAAACCCCCGGCGCATGCACCAATTGTACATCCACGGGCCGAACCTGCGACGGATATGAGTTTCACCGGTTACCCCGCGAGGTGCGGAGATCCAGAAAAGCAGTGGTGGGGATCACAGTGCCGGGTTCACTCACCCACGGGATCCATTGGGTGATGAATGCCGACGAACAACGATCATTCGCCTATTTCCAACATCGATCCATGCCCGCATTTGTAGGATAGTTTGACTCCTCACTCTGGCAGAAACTGGTCCTCCAGTTGAGTCACGCCGAACCCGCGGTATATCATGCGGCTGTCGCGTTGAGCGCCGTCCACCAGGTTGCCGAGAAGAAAGGCATGCCGCTTGCTAGGGAGGACTTGGATAATACTTGGCATCGCTTCGCTTTGGAACAGGCGAGTCGCTCCATCGCCTTGCTTAATGCGCGACGGACATCGCAAGATCCCTGTCTGAGAGAGGTCACTCTGCTGTGCTGCTTGCTTTTCACGTTGTCTGAATTACTGCGCGGCCGGTATGATAACGCCTTTAGACATCTGCATGGTGGTATACACATCTTGAAACGTCTAGGTGCCCACAGACAACTTGACTCGGCGGAAATGTTCAAGCCCCCGGTGGAGTGGTGTCTTGTCGAGGCATTTGCGCACTTGGACGTCCAGTCCATTCAATTCGGCGTAGGAGGACCGATCTGGTTTACCGATGAGCAGGACCATATCCAGCTAGGTAATGAGAAGTTCACTGCTTTTCAGAATCTAGCGGAGGCGCGTCAAGCTTTCGATCGCGTGATGGGTACCGTGCTTCTTTTCACAGCGAAGGCGTCCGGCTCCGCCCACAGCCAAATCGCCGCGGACTACGAAACACTCTACAGGAAGCAACTCGACCTATGTCTACAAATAGATACATTCACCCAAACATTCAATAAATTCCAAACAAACACATACTCCCAACTAAGCCCAAAACAACAACGAGGAGCCGACATAATTTACCTTCACCAGCGTGCCGCAACCCTCACCCTCCAAACCTGCCTATTAGACGGAAACGAACCAATCCTTGATCAATACACGCCCGAATTCGAGAACATCCTATCTCTAGTGGATGCAATAATGCACACATTCCCAGAACGGCCAAGCGTCTGCTTCGACATGGGAATTATCCCACCCTTGACTCTCGTGGCTACCGGCTGTCGTGATTACAATGTGCGGTGGCGTGCTATTGAGATGCTTCGGTCGTGGCCTCATCGCGAGGGGACCTGGGATTCGAATTTGTGTGCGCAGTTGGCGATTCAGACTATGAAAGTGGAGGCGATGAATAATTTCAATGTGGATGTCAGTGGAAAGGTAACGGGTGGTCGTAATGAGCCATCCTTGCGAGGTATTTTCATGACAGTTGAAGACGATCAGTGCCGGGCGCGCATTTCGTACTTTCTTGGAGATGTAAAGCACGAAGTTTGCGTTATGCTGGGGGAAGATATATATCCTTCTTAGTGGATCCGTCCCGCCAGAGTCGCTGCTATGTCGTCTGTCAATGATATAGTGCGCGAAAAAAAGAGTAATTGAAGTGCGTATGACAGATGCCGATACTACTAGGGTGTATTTCTAGCGATTCAAAACCACCTGCAAGCTGCCAATGGAGATCTCTCTATTGCATTGAGTTAAGTGATAGCAATTATCAGGCTACTAATGAATCACAAACGGCGCCTCCTGAACCGGCGCAAACAGCTCCTCAACCGGAACCACCCTTTCAATCATCCCCTGCTCATACAGATACTGCACCAGCGCCTCCAAAGTCTTGCGGTTTTTCTCAATCCCATACGGCCAGCAATCCTCCCCGAACACCTCGACGGTCTCTTCCAGTGCCTCCCGCAGCCACGGCAACATACAGCGGATCATACCAGGCATGAAGGTTCTCTTGCGAACCAACTCCTTCGACTCATTCAGCGCCTGGAAGAAGCTCGTCGCAACCCACTTGTGCTGATCGTACACTTCCCTTCGGATAGCGACCAGATGCATGATCGGAAAGATGCCCGTTTTTCGGTAATACTCCTTCTCGGCCTCCTTATAATTAGGAAACAGGCGCTGAATATGAGGGGCTTTTTCATTGTCCCAGAGACAAGATGGAACCTCTGCTCCGATGGTCGCATCGATATCACCGTCCGCCAGCAGTTGGTTCAGGGATTTCCCGCTGTTGTTCTTTTCAATGTTGGCCAGCGGCTTGCCCCCTTCCCTCCGAATCAGGACAGATGGCTTGCCATGAGCCCCGGGCGCGTCCATCCGCCCCTCAATCCAGGTGATGCTCGACAGATCCACGCCGTACTCGTGCATCAAAAGCCCACGGATCCAGACGGCAGCGGTCATAGTATACAATTGCACGCCGATGCGCTTCCCCGACAAGTCTGCAGGTGACTTGATGCGGTCAGTGTTGACGACGATGTATCCATGACGGAAAGTACGGAGCGGGAAGGCCGGGACAGCAGTAAAGGTGCGATCGCCGGCGACATGGCGGGTGATAAATTCACTACTCGAGAGTTCAGAGGCGTCAAATTCGCCGTTGCGGACCATGCGGTCAAATACGTCGCGGGGATGCTGGACTTCGACAAAGTTCAGGTCGAGACCCGCGGGGCGGACCTCGCCGGTCGCGAGCGGGACCATGCGGTCGTAGCAGGGGGCAGCAAAGGAGAATGGAACGGGCATTGTGAATATGTTTGCGGCGGGGTGACAAAGAGAATAATGAGGTTGCGTATGTGTTGGGTGTAGGATGGCTGGATAAAGAGTTTAAGAATTGCCCAGAAACCTAATCGCAGACAAGTCGACCCACTGCAGACTCGGCCGCGGGCGACAGAGTGGAGATAATCCTCGGGCTTAGATCGTTGCAACTGGCTCCGAGCGGAGCTAGACAGCGCATCACATGATGTTATTGAGAAAACTTATCCGCCAGGGTGGGTAGGGCTGCGCTTTCAAGAGGGCGAGAATACTGAAGGCGTAGCTATCTGACACTAGGGATATTGCCATCGTGCACCGAGTTCATTCGGGGCCAAACGTGAAGGGATGGCATCCGATCTGCAGCTCGGGCTTATGGAGAAGACCCTCGGGCTTCGTCGGACTTCTCGGAGATATCCTATGGGCAGAATCGAAGCGCGTCAGATGGGCCCCGGGGCTCTTTCAGTTGTCCTTGAGATCACTGTGCTACAATTATGCTCGAGACATGTGTTGATTGATAACACCGGCTCTGACTGGAGAGGAAGCTACCAATGCCTATCGGCAGTCCACACGTATCGCTGACTCCATATCATGGGCGCGATGGCAGCTCAGACATTCTAAAAAGCGGAATGGTAGGTTCTCCCACACCAGTCTTGATAGATTTCAAGGAGTCGACGAGAAATTCATTCTCCGCTTCTGTCGTCTGCAACACTGACAAGGCCTGGCCTTCATTCGGAAAGTCCCTTCTGAGCGCACTCAATGCCATTAAAGCAGTGACATTGGAGCTGTGCAGGCCCTCGTAATGTGGCCATGACCGTAGAAGACGAATAGCGCGTATTCGAATCTCCATATCTGGGCACTGTGTGGCCACAAGGTACATGTGGGCGATCATGACATGGTCCATTACCAGGCCAGAGACTGACCTGAGCTTCTCAATCTTGTCTTCATGGGCCTGCAGTAGCACAAGGAATTCCGGAACCAGAGACTTCGGCACTGGACCACGGATCAACACAGTTTTGAGTGTGAGAGTATGACCAAGGTAAAGCAAGTGGACGATATCTGCTCCCAGTTGCTCCTTCTCACTTAGTTGATGGTATTTCGTTACGCAAAAAGACTTGAAATATGGGTCAAAATCAGCGAAACTAGCTAGCAGTCGCCGTTGGCTTAGGTAGAGTGACTCATAGTTGGCCTCCATGTTGGGACCGTTCAGGCTCCAGCTCTTAGCAATCAAGGGTATACCGGCTGTAAATAAAACCGTAATCTTCTCTCGTACCTGGCTGAGGCTAGTAAAGCCGCCTGTTGGCGCTTCGAATAACTTGAGCGGGAATCTTGTCCCGTCCTCCAGGCGTAGGATCGGAAATCGAGTATCATAGAGCGAGGCCTGTATATCTAGGCGGCGGAATGCAGCAATGATTGATGGCGCAACCTCCGACTCTAGCTTCCCCTGATTCTCGAGTTCTTTTAGAATACGGAGACCGCCGTGTAAATGCGTAAACGCACTGTCATATTGCGCCACAAGCACATCGAAAAGAACAAAGAGCAGACAGCACAGGAGGATAGTTTGACGCAGCTGGGGGTCCTGGGAATTCCGGCGCTGGTTCAGGAGCGCTACGGCTCGTGTAGACTGTTGAAGAGAGAAATAATACTGCTGGCTCCCGACGCGTGACCGTGCAGACATCTGCATATCATGTATTTCCGACTCCTGGTGCGCAGCACTGAACATGTTAACCGCATGAAAGACAGCCGGATCAGCACGAGACATCTGTAGGGCCAACTGCTGCCAGAGCGGGGAATCGAAAAACCCGGCCAGATTCGTAACGGAGTGATACTGAAAATAGGAATAACAACGGTGTTCATCCGACGTCATCGTCCAACCAAGTCGAGTGCCTATGTCGTGTAGACCGCGGCGCTGCGGCAACCGGTACGCATCATACCCATCGCACTTCCAATTAGCAGAGACGCAGTTGTTGCATTGGCCTGGCGATTCATCACATTTAATCCGTCGGATTCTGGGCATTGAAGGTCCTCGGTTAGTGCTAGTGTCTCAGGCCATCAGTTTCCATGTACTGCTTCCTCCTTACCGGCAGGTACGACAACCTGTCCTGGACCTCTTCCCGGTGCTCTTCCGGTGTTTGCTGGATAAGATGAGTTGCATCTGGGCCATCCTTGGACAGTGACTAGGGTGGAGTGTTCTGGAATTGCTTTCGAATAGCAAGCACGCAAGAAGGAGCGGGAGCCAGAGGGGGGGCCTAAATACCACTAGCGGGTGTCGATCGACCTGTTTAGCTGAAGGAATTCCGGGTGATTAGTCGCAGTACTATCTAGTCGCCGGGTCGTAAGAACTGACAGGCCACAGGATTTGTCGAGATGGTAATCCAGCCACTGCATATGCCGCGCAGGAACTGTAATGGAATCGGATAATTAATAGATGGACATAATATCGGTATTCAGGGATGAGAGTCGTCTATTTGGACCTCTCCGCAATTCCCCTCCTCTCAACCGACCTCATGATCCTGTGTTTTTGAGGTGGGGGCAGGATCTCGCAGGAGCTGTAGACATGCAAGGCTACTTTAGCCTGGTTCTAGTGAGTCGTGGTATCACGTCAGCACAGAATCGTTTGTGACAAATGGAAGTTACGCACGGCTTTGCGGTAGAAGACATGTTGTAATAGTAGTATTTCTAGCATTAGCCAATACTACTACTAATCAGTAGCAGCCGATTCGATAAGATCTGATGATCGAAATGTGCTCAATGATGATGGTGTAAGCGGACATACTACATAAGTAAGGCCGACTGCTTTAAGAGGAATGCAGCACTGGAGTCAGTACTAGTTCTGCTGCGAGGCTCAAGGAATGAATTCCAATGAAAATAAATGTAACTTAGAAGAAAGAAGCCTTAGATTTAGTATTAGACTGTGCTTGTAAGGTTTGAAAGGAAGGGACGACCCACGTCCTCCGTCAAATGTTTGTTTAGTGATAAAATTCTAAAATAAGGGCTTCTCCGGTCGCAACAATGAATTGCTATATGCGGTTTAGCGCCGACGCCCGACCAAGTTCTATAAAACCCCCTTCATCGCGGCCTTTTCACGCGGACTCCATATACACGCAAGCCATTGATTGATTCAACGAATTGAAATATCAGACTGCTTGTCCTTCGATTCGGCAACTCTGCGTATTTATATGTATTTCTCATGAAGTTGGCGATCTCGGCTCTGAAGGCAACCCTATAATGATTTGTAATTCAGAACCTCTTGGCTCGCATTGGAATGGCATGATTTATTTTTATGGTTTTATGTGCTTCGTGACTTCAAATTGAATACAAGATATTAAGCCCCGACAGTGTCTTCACGAATGCAATTCAATTAACTTTAAATCATCTTATGTCCTGTCCTTTATTGATCATATCCTCATTTCGTTTAAAATGCTGCCCACCTAAAGCTGGACATCTCAAGAGTGAAGAGCAAACATGTTAAATGGTGTTGTTTACTGCTATTGACCATTCTTAAGCCCACTCGACATAACAAAAGCCAGTTGCTTCAAAGATATATGTGATGCTTCCGACGCAAATGCTCCCGCAGGTTATCCTTCCTGTTGAATGATTTGTGGCACTCGGGGATTGTGCATCGATATTTTCCGGGAAAAACATGCTGTGTTTCAATGTGTCGGTTCAGTGAGGCTTTGCTTTTGAATTCCCCACTGTATTTGCAGCCTTTCCATACGCATTTGATACTATAATATAGTCAGCGAAGCCGAGAGGAGGACAAAGTAAGAAGAAAATACCAAGCCTTG